ACTGGTTCCTAAAGCTGATTTTTTTCTTTCGTGTTTCAGATTTGGTCAGCTAACACACAGGGAAAAAAGAAAGACCACACATAGCCTCTATTTTTTTTTTAATTCTTTTCTCTACATGTCCCTAATTATTAGAGCCAGGGTTGTTGTTTTCTGATACTGCACTGGGGCTATATTTGATGTTCAGTTATGGATAATATTTTTTTTCTTTTGAAGCTATGTTAAGATAATATTATCTGGTCTGTCCAAGTACACATAGCTCTTAGGGCTCGTTCACACCATGGGGCACAGCCATTAGTTTTTCTGCATGCATTCTGCAAGGGCACTATGAAATCAATTGTTCTCTATGTGCCCTGTTCACACAACAACACTGGTATCACGTGTGGATTTTTTCTGCACAGGAATCTGCAGTGTGTATATAAAACTCATTGTAGTGTGCATGAAAAACTGATGTAAACTGATATCTCTGCAAGTGAAATCTGCGCGTCAGTTTTTCTGCACTTTTGGTGTGAACGAGGCCTTAGTGTAGCTTTTCCTTTATATGGTTTAACAAAATCATTCTAAATACTCCTTATTATGTTTTAGATTCTTTATCTCAGCCTTGTGCCCCACCATCTACTCCTGGGAACGTACTCTCTTCTCCTCTGGTGCCTACAGGAGAGCCAGTCTCCATCCCTGACAACCTTTTTAAGTCATGTATGATCACTCCAGTCATATTTAAAGGTATGTATTCCACAGATTTAAAGTACACCTATCAGTAGAATATTCTCCCTTAAATGGAATGAGGGCTAAAATGTTCTCTAATATCAAATAACACATACTGCAAAATCTCCCTAGCAGTGGTGAAAGCTACCCTTGCTTTTCTAGCCTTCAAAAGATTCAGGTAATGCAAGGTCAGCTTCTGGAAAATGTTGGAATTTGCATATTAGACAACTAAAGGAAGCATGGGTGATCAAAAAGAGACCTAAACGTATGGGCAGGCCTTGCTAAGTGCCTGTGTTTGAGTTGCAGGGATTATTTTTACAAAGGGTAAGTTAACCTATAGGTAACTTTTTGGCATCTAACTAAGCCTGAAATTTTAAACCACCTGCCAATTTCTCATATATGTCTTGGGGATTCTACAGGTAAATTATCCGCTCATGAGTACCCTGGTGTGCATACCTACTGTGGCAATCATGAGGGAGCCCATTTATCCTATTTATTTTATACTTTTTTTATAATGCAACAAGAGGATGTGGAACACACAAAAAAGGGCAAGAACATCCGTAACCTCCAGGTGAACAGGAACAGGTTTGGGAATTATGGTAGCGAAATCTCACTGTTCAGATATCCAAGATATATATAAGGATCCAGGGACTGACCCCTATAGCTAAAATAAAATTTTTGGGTAGATCTTTAAGTAATAACTTCAGGTCTTTTAGAGTTTCAAAACATACCCTAGAAAATATCAGAACCTAATTACATTTGCAACCAGTTTGTTGAAAGAGTAATATGGTTTGACCACTTGGCTTGTTGAAGATTTCTGTCGGACTTGGTTAAATGTTGATAATTTTGAGATTGTTAAGGACAGACCATTAATGTGATATACATGTGTTATTAAAGTGTACTTAAAGCCAAAACTTTTTTTTAAGGATTTGCATACTGTGGGTTAGACCCATTGTCAAATTCAGGTGCCTCCAACCTGTGGCCTGGGCATGTCTGGGGGGATGCCAAGAATGGCTGTGCGGCAAGCACAGCAGCCATAACGGCCGACACAGACAAGCCTGTCCCATGCACGGCTGTAACTGGGAATGCTGTGCAAAGATAGCAGCCTACATGTATAAGTCAGTTAAATGCACATCTGGAGGGATTCCGGGGCTGCCATGTTTGCAATAACAGTAGCAGGGAATGCAGGGGTGCCAAGTAAGTATATACGTCATGGCCGGATCTAGGGGGGTGCTGGGGTTGGTTGCACCCCCCAAAGACCCCCACGCACAACTACCTCTCTACCTTCTCACCACAACATTGGTTACAATCACACTGGCAATTAGGGCTGGTGCGAATTGTAGTGGCAGTTCCTCCTCTGGCTCCCAGCAGGTAGGTGCGGTTACCGCCCCATTTACTATAATGACAGTTTGTCAGCAAACACTCCTATTCATGTCTTTCTACACAGCCAACAATTACCTGCTGTGATTACTGCTGGATGCACTTTGTCTGCATCCAGCAGCATTCACCGCAGGTAATCGCTGGCTGCACAGAGAGCCAATGAATAGGTGCAGCCCCCTGCAACCTCTTAATATAGTGAATGGGCCCAGCAGCCACACCTACCACTGAGAACCGAAGGAGGAACTGCTCATCAGCTGTCTTTATTGTTGGTGCATTTTATGTGTGGGCGAAGACAATTTCTCTTGTTCCAATGTGGCCAAAGAAGGTCAAAAGTTTGGACACCCCTGGTCTCGTTTTTATTGTTGTCTGTGTCCCTGTTAGCGAGATGCACCCTCTCTATTAGTCCTTGTAACCCCTGTCACCAGGACTGAAAATGAGAGAAAATCCATAATTTTAGGTTGTCACTTTAACATAAAACAAAGGTGAAATTTTCCAATAGGAACACTTTTCTAGTGAGAAGATTTATGGTTCCTTGGAGGAACCTCCTCTAACCCTTCCTTTTGTGTCTTAACAGAAGAAATTAAAGTAGAACTGTATTGCCTTCCACTTCAATGATGCAGTGTCCTGGGGCTCCCAGCTGGCTGCTGAAATCTTTCTTTCAGGTTTCAATATTCAGATGTTCTCAATAGTCTGTCCAGAATGACATCACTCCTGCACATGCTCTGGAGTTCATTCATTATGGCAGATATTGAAGCTATACACTGAGCTACATGTGCACAGCTCAGTGTACAGTCCGAACAGGCAAGTAAGTATACTTTATTGCAGAAGAGACATAGCTTGACTCTTCTGTATTAAAATGCATACCTGTTCACTTTTTTTTTTTATTTTGATTAAAGTTCAACTTTAAGGAAAATCTGACTAAAGTGACACAGACAGGAAAAAAAAAAAACAGACAGAAAATCTGACAGCGATTTGTACTATTTTTTTTCCAAACTTAACAAATTACGTTTAGTTGTTCGTTATTGTTGACGTATTGTAAAAGCTACACATGTTAACTTTGTTTTTTATGGCTTTGCAGGACATGGGAACTTCCCTTACCTTTGTGGTAATGTGAGTGATGTTATTGTCAGCCCTCTCTTATATAACTGCTACAAGAACTCCCAGTCAATTCCCAAGACCTACGAACAATATGGGCCTACCACCATTCAGCCCATTTCAGAGGAAATGCAGCTTTTGCTGACTGTCTATTATCTTGTCCAGCTCGGTAAGTAAGGACCCATTATCATTTCAGCATGTTTAGGCTCAGCCCAGTGCTCCTAGTCTGCAGTTTGTATTTGTTGTGTAACACACTCCGGTGCTCCTTCAACACACTATATAGCAGCTTGAACCTGCCATAGACAGATCAAAATTCAACCAGTTTAGCAGGGACTGGCCAGATTTTGATCCATGTATGGGCAGGCTGGTTGTGCTTAAGTCAATCCATTGATCGAATTCAGCAAAACCAACCTGTCTGTTTTTTTTTCTGTTTGATCACTGCCGGCGGCTATAGCAGTGATCCTTGTATTCTAACATCTGGGAAATTGCCTCCTATCAGAGTACAAAAGCTCCGTGGGGTGGATTTCCCCATTAACACTGAATGTGTTTATATGGAAATTGAGCAATTTTCTTTCCTGAAACCTATGGTTGCAGGAAAGAATATTATTTAATATATGGCCTGCTTTAGTGAAATAACATCTACCTAATAACTTTATAATCTTAAAGTGCACTAAATATCACAAATAAAATAACAATAAGCTATAAAAGCCCCTCAAATCTGTAACAATGATCCCAATAATTAAATGCTCACAGTTATCAGTGTCCAACAATATCCTCAGTGCTTAGTGATTAAAACATGGTCAATCCTCTACAAGAGTGCTCTAAAAATTAATATTCAACAGCTGAGTCCTCCCTCCAAAATGGATAGACTCACCAAATGCTGTGAACTATAATTAATGGGCAATAGGCTTTTATTGTCTTCAGTACACTGTCTCTTTCACTTTCAGTTACAATTCTGATGACATGTCCCCAGACTGTTGATTGGTCAGTAAAGGAACAGCATTAGGCAGATAAGGTCATCTTTCTGTTCACTCTTTAAATCAAAAGAACACAGCGCTCAGGAACACTGGAGAAAAAGTTTCCCAATGGAACTCTTTATAGAAACACTATGGGGACGTCACACAGTCATTTGCGTTTATTTTAGGATATACAGTATAAGACCAAATAAAAGCTAAAAATTTAAAATGTGAGTGGTTCCAATTACCGGACCCTCATGGCTGATGGTGCAAGATCTGCCGAAGCCTTGCTGGATCATTAGGCTGCGAAGTCTCAACAATGGTGGAGATAAGTATGTCCCGCTGATATAGAGATTCCCTGTGTTGAATGGGCGCCACTCACGGTTTACATTTTTGGCTTTTATTTGGTCTATCAATCAGTATGTTCCTTTTCAGTATATTTGCATACAGCACACCTGATTAACTCTTAATGCTGCTTCTCCATCTCCCAGTTTGAGTGCTGCTGTACAGGGGTATAAAAGATGCTGATATCAGGTGCTTACATTGGTTGCCTTAAAAACTGCAGTTATAGATGTATTATTAAATATATAAGTACATTATTAAGTGTTTTATCACCTTCAGCTTTAATTCTCAGGAGTGTTGGTCAGAGCGCTGTTACTTGTACTTCTAAACATGTTTCGAAACGTGTACAGAAAATCTGTAAATATATTATGCTATTCTCTTGTTTCAGCTCCAGACCAGGTGCCTCTTATAGAAGATCTAGAACAGATATTCATGCGATCCTGGCGGGAGACACACCTTGCTGAAATTCGTCAGTACCAACAAACCATGTCACAGGCCTTTCCTCACTTCCCGAGCCCGATTACGTCAGTGACTGCATCTCAACTGCCCTGGTTGGCTGGTCTGGCTGCCAGCTCTTGCAATGAAAGTGTGAAGATCATTGAATGCAGCTATTCCTTAGCAGAAGGGCTGTCTGAGATGTTTAAACTGCTGGTGGATGGAAAATTGACCAAGACCAACTATGTGGTAATAATCTGCACATCAAGACCCAATTGCATAGACTCCTGCATTGCTATAACAGGTAGTTTGGATCATCTATTGACATCTCATTAACAGTATTGATTTGGAGGGTGTGACGGGTGCAGGTCAGACCCCTGACCTTCTCACCAAACTCGTGACCGAAGGACTAGCCAATCTAAAACCGCGATGTCCCGTGCATAACAATACTACGCCCAGCTACACCCTGCACAATGATTTTCCAGCTAATTGGACCACAATCGATGTACCTGCAGCCTGGGAGCGTTTGTTACTGGGTCAGGTTAATTCCACAATTAAACCCTTCACACTGCCACCACCTCCTTTTTGTATAGAGAAAGAGGAAACTCAGCAATACACTGGATGATTGGTTAATCGTCGGTATATACCGCTATCTCCGCGGACAGGTTATACAGAGGGTTAAACACTCATAGTAGCGCTCCTCAGCGGCAGGCATTCGTAAGTCACATTAAAGGGCTATCAAAACAGTTCAACACTTTCAGAAAGTAAGATTTATTACTAAAAGGTCAAAAGGGTGCAGTAGAAATATTTACAGAAAAAAGATGTAACCAATATATATATATATATATATATATATATATATATATATATATATATATAAATATACAGAGCACAACAGCACAGCAAACAGATAACAGAAAGAAGTTTAGGTAAATAAGTACTTGCCGAGAGATGCCTGGTGTTAAGCAGTTTCAAGACTGATGAGTTCAAAAGGGATTTCTGGTCTCGCACTCAGTTTTGTTGTTACAGCGCGATTCTCCTTTCTCTCTGTCTGCTAGATGTTAAAACGCAGAAGGTCCACACTTCTCTGTCTACACACAAAACATAACAGCCCCTTTTTCTACCCAAAATTAACTGGTATCTTCTTACAACAGCAAGCCAATTGCCTTATTTGGCAAAAAGGATTGTTAGGCAGGGGGCTCAGCATCATACACTGATTGCATTCCTGAGGGAGGGGGAAAATCGGAGGAGGGAGACTGATTTGGAATTTAAGAGAAATACCAAAATGCAGAAGTTTGGAGCAAAATGAAGAACCGCACCTCTCCCTGTGTGCATGATTGTTACAGAGGGATCTTTATAAAAAGCTTTATTTTAAGTTTTTGTGGATTAACTTGATGGGATTTTAATGTGGATACATCAATTACATGTAAAGCAACACTTAGACTTAGTTTGATAGACAATGTTTATAATTTTTGAAGTTTCTGAGTTGAAGATTGTTTTTCCACGTGGGCAGAGTGCAATATAAATGCTTTGGAAAAAAGTGAAAATGGGAGGAGAACCCACTCAGGTGACCTGTCATAGTAATATAACATTCTTCTTTAATCACCGAGTTCTCTTTATTGTGTTAAGACAAAAAGTGAACTCTGTAAGATGTCGCAAGCCACCCTGCAGTGTAAAATTGAGCACATTCCATTGCAAATAAGTATCTTAGTGAATAGACATGCAGCAAGTGAACTCACTGTAGCTGATTTACTAATAGGGTGCATTTCTGACTTAGTTCAGTGAAGGAGGGTTCATATTGACCGTTTAGTCATGTGCAAAGGGAATTCCTTATTTTTTTTAATTTCTGCACATGACTGAGAATTCAGAGCGAACACATCTTGACTTGGCTAAATCATAATATCTTCCTTTAAATGACCACTGCTGATTGAATCCTGGCACTCACAGAGTCAAATTTCCATTTTGGAAGATGCATTGAATCTGGGTTGTTGAAAGTCTTGACTGACTTAGGTGAGCTTTACCTTGGATTCATTTATATCATTTGGGGACTCTGCTTTTATAGCCAACATCTTTTTAAGTTGAATTGGCTAAGAATTGATTAACAACAAGTTAACTCTTAGCAGCGTTGTCCATTTACCAGTATATAGTTGTGTTTATTATTTTATAAAAAGGTAAATACTGTCTTTTTAATACCCTGGGCAGATAAACTTCTGACAGTCTATGGCTAACTCAGGAGTTGGGGTGACTGTTTCTCTTCTTTCTCTGTTACTCCAAATGTTCTCTAAATATCACCTATTACAAAGTTACTATTACTATTCATCTGGAATAGATGTGAGAAAGGGATGTTGGCATTTTATTTATGATATGCAAAGAAAAATATGTTCATGGAAGGGTTCTGCAGGAGAAGTCATCTTGAACCCCTGAAACTTATTGTGTTCCTATTTTAAGGTGGTTCTAAAGGTAAACTTTTTTTTACCTTAATGCATACTATTCATTCAGGTAAAACACTTCTCTGTGCAGTTCCCCAGCCCCCCTTATACTTACCTGAGCCCGATCTCAATTCAGCAGTGCACGCGAGAGCAGAGGCTCTCTCTTCTCACTGGACAAAGAGCCAGTAGTGGGAGACATTGGCTTCTGCTGCTGTTAATTGCAGCCATTGAGGAGAGCGGGGGGGGGGGGGGTTAAGGGGGCGGGGTTAAGGCACACTATGTGCCAATAGACACACATAGTGTGACTCAAGAACGAGCCTGCACTAGAGGCTTGCCATGGGGGCACTCAGTAGTGGGCCGAAGCCAGGAGCGCCAGCGGGGGACCCAAGAAGAGGATTGGGGATGCTCTGTGCAAAACCACTACACATAGCAGGTATGTATAACATGTTTGTGTTTTTAAAAAAATATCCTTTAGAATCACTTTAATGTACATTATCCTTTGACCCCTTCAGGAAAATATCAATCCCGGATGTTAATGGAAAGTATGTACACTCCAGCAGAATTCCTGAAAGAGGTCAACTATGAGCTGGTTAGTGGCAAGGTGGAATCTCTAGGATCCTTCTTCAGCAATCTGTGTCCAGGTATTTCCAGATAACCATGCATCATTGTAGACCTGTCTGTGTACATGAGAACTCCAGGAAAAAATAAATACAGTCAAACATAAATGTATAAAGTGAAAAGTTTTTTCCTTGTTCTTTATTTGAATACTACTCTTTTCTAGTCTTGAAACAAGATAGCTTTAACTCTCTACTAGCTCACCTAATCTTTTCATATTTTAATGAAATAACCTATTCATAAACCCCTACTATTTGTGGTATGTAAATACTGAGGTTGTCCAAGGCTGATATGGAAAGTGTGCTGTAAGTCTTACTTGATTTAATTGGTTATCTATTCTATCTGTAGATGGGGACATAGATGTTCTGCTGGACAAATATCATCACGAAAACCTTGGCGTCATTTCTTCAACAACGAAAAAAAACAACGTAGATCTCAGACCAGCTACATGTCCTAGTAAGTCACAGCATTTTCTTTATTATAGTTATATGTTTCTCATTATACAACTTAAGCTGGCCATAAATTGAAATTGGGCCTGTTCAGTAGGAAATGACTAAATTTTTGATCCTTGTGTGGCTACTGTGGTTGAACAGAAGTCGTTTTTCCAATCAAATTCTGTTCAACCCCCCTGTTGAAAAAAAGCCACTCGTTCAACGCTGCAGAAATACAATAGAATACAACAATGCAGTGGGGGGGATTCCCCCATCCATCTTGAATATGTTGGTGGGGAAATCGGGTCAGTATGTTTGTTCAACCCGCTGGTTGAATGAAAAAACTGACCCATGTATGGCCAGCTTTATTTCTTAGTTAGGGATCTTTCTCGAGGGTGGCTTGTGGGCGGTAAAAATGATGGGGGTTGAGACACAATTTTGCCACCCGTTGACCACCCACATTAAACAACATCATGCAGCTACTCAGGGTTGTACACATGCTGCCACCATGGCAAAAATTAAACAGCATGCTGCGTTCAAATGGCGGTACTGCTACTGAATGCAAGCCATACAAGTGAAAGGGGCTGCACCGCAACCGCCCTGCAATGCACTTGAGGCACTGTGAGTTGAAATGTTCAGGGTTAAAGCAGGAGGAGGCAAATATATGGCTTCCTCACTGATTGTTAAATGCCTTTGTAAAGCGATCTACTGTGGATTGCTTTTCATAGGGGCTCAAGGGCTGCCACATACATGAACAAGCCTTTACATACAAACAGTTGGTGCTCAAGTAAAAAAAAGGATACATTTTTGTTGCAAGGAAACAATGAATATGTGTTTTCCAGGAAAATGTTCTCTTTTGATGCTGTGATTGTAATCCACTACTTTGTTGCTTTCCTTTAAAACACTATAGGACAAACAGTGCACAAGCATTGCATGACATCTTCATAAAACTTTTATTAGAAACTGTAAGAACTGATGCTTACAAACATTCTTTAAAAATTTGCTTCATACAGGAAGTGACCTAGATGGCCACATTCTTTGGCCAATAAGCTGTGGGCAGGAGATTCCCCACCCCACAGTTGCCACGTTTGCAAAGGGGCGGCTGTAGCCATATTAGGTCAATGATGTGATTAGCATCCTCTCCCCATTTTTACGTGATCTGACAGTTTCCAGTGGATTCGTCTAAGCTACTAACTAAACCTATATCAGTTCCTAAGTAACAGGATGCCACCTTTACGAAAAAAAAGCAGCACTTTTACTTTTTTTTAAAGTTCTGTCAGTAGTCATTTTTTTTTGCTCAGCAGTAAGCTTGTACAGCAGAGAGAGCCCTGAGCATCAACCTGCTTTATATATATATAGATATATATATATATATTTAGATTGTACGCCCCTTGAGGGTTAGGGACTGATGTGAATGTACAATATATGTAAAGCGCTGCGTAAATTAATGGTGCTATATAAGTACCTGAAATAAATAAATATATATATATATATATATATATGCCTGTGGACCGCTGAGACTAATAATGAGGTCTGGCTACCAGTAAGTTGTGAAATTAGGAATAGAGACTTTTTCCTACTTCTACAAAGCCTCCAGGCTCAAGGCCCCAGACAGAACTTCTGATTCAACTTCTGATTCTGAGAAATGGTGTGTGTATATATATATATATATATATATATATATATATATATATACACACACACACACACATACACAGTATATATATATATATATATATATATATATGCACACACACACATACACAGTATATATATATATATATATATATATATATATATATATATATATGTATACGTATGTGTTGTCACTTCTGCATTACAGCCCTGGCTTTGAATCCCAAACGTGACACTATCTACATAGAGTTTGCATGTTCTCCCACTGCTTTTGTGAGTTTCCTTCCACATTCCAAAGATGTGCTGATACTTTCATTGGCTCCTGTCTAAACTGACCCTAGCATGAGGTAGGAACTGATGTGAATGTACAGTATATAAAGCATTGCGTAAATTGCCAGTACTAAATAAATTGAACAGCAATATGACGAATAGGGGAATATTGGCAAATATATGCCTAACGCATCCTATAGATTACAGGTACAACATCCTTAACTGCATTGCCACAGATTGATACACATAGGAGGAGGCTACTGTCACCTATGATGGAGGGCATGACCAGCACCAATGAGATGCTTTTTGGATACTATATGATGCTGTGGGACTCCTCCTCTTTCTATGACTGAGCCTTTGATACCAGGTTCCACCTGTTTGTGGGAGTGCTCCTCCTGCTTTTATTTTTTAACATTTTACCTGTTATTATGATTTTGAGATATGAATAAATTCTGTGTTTTTCCTAAAGAAGAAGGCATTGACCTGTGAAATGCATTACATGCAAAGACCCCATTTTCCATCTTTGGAACTGTGTAAGGGGTGACAGAGTTAAGAGTTATGTAACATTATCAACATGTGCAATGGACTGTTGTTCTCAATGATACATTTTAATGATGGAATAAAATTTAGTGTTTTCATAAAAACGTAAAAAAAGTAATATAATAAAAAAAAGTATGGGTGCAGTACCATTATAGTCCTAATTAGATTTACTTGGAGGGTTGCTTTGTAATACTACATAAATACCTGGAATAAATAAATAAAAACATCCTCCTGCATTTTCAGATATTACCATCAGATGGAGCTCAGACACTTAAAAAAACCACTGAGTTTCTATCAGGTATTAAAAACCAGCCTCCTCTATACTGTTGTTTTATGTGCAAAACAATTTGCTAAAACATGTCCCAGTCTGTGTTTATGTTGATTGTCAGTACCCGTTACATTTATTTATTTTCAAATACTTCCTTATATTTCTAATTAAAATATAACTAATTTAATTTGTTTTATATAACTGGTTAACCACTTCACGCCTTTAGGCACGTTTAAAATGTCCTAGACTTAAAGTGGTTAAAACCAATTTTTTTTAGCCAGTGGTCTCCATTCTCCTAAACACTTTTACCGCAGTGAGAAGTGCTGCCACCCCGATAGTTAGATCCAAAGGAGAATGAGGAACATATGGATGTCCTCTGTGACTAATGAACCCCGATGAGTATTCTGTCACTTCCAGTTTCAGAGCTGTCATTGTCTGGCTATCATAGTCAGGGAAGCAGCTAATCAAGCTTAATCTGAGCTTGATAGGTGCAGTGTAAAGTGTAAAAAAAAAAGTAAAATTTAATAAATATACAATTATTTTAAAAATTCAAACGCACAGTGATTGCGACACACAATGGAGGTATCATGTCAGTGTAACAGCAGTAATTCTAGAGGCATAATTCATGGTTAATTGTAAACTGATAACATGTAAAGGCTTTAGAATTGTCAATGTTGTTTTTTTCACCATTTCACGGGTGCACAGAGTTATAACTCTTAACATGTTTGGTATCTATTTACTTAACACTATTTACTATATATTTACTTAACACAAGCTCATATTCTATATTTTGCCAAAATATTTATTTTTCTGTTTGTGTGCAAGAAAATTCATTTTGGTGTATTTTGTCCTGAAAATATGCAGTTGATAAACAGCTGCGCAAATATCATGCAACATAAAAATTGCAACAGCCACCAGGGCCTCTGCTTTCAGAGAATATATAATTGTTTGAGGGTTCTAAGTAATTTTCTAGCAAAAAATGACTTAAAGTGCTTTATTAGTGCACACATCCTTTTTTGACTTCCCTTCCCCTTTTGAAAAATGTCCTATTTACCTGTAAACCCCTTCTCTGAGAACCTCACTGTGCCCATCACAGCTTCTACCCTGAAATTTCTGAATCTTGTGATGTGCTAAGCAAATGTGCACCTTAGACTTCAATGGAAAGTCCATCAGCAGGCTGACAGATTGTGGATGGACTTTCTGTTGAAGTAAAGTTTGTGGCATGCATGCATGGCTAGCGCTAAGGAGGATTTAAAATATTGCAGGAGAGAGACTGTACATATCAGGCAGCTTAGTGAAAAATGTAGCAGAATATGATTACAGATAAATAAGATCTATTATAAAAAAAACATAGGGGAGTATGGTTACAGCTAAAAAAAAAAGAAAAAATTGGAAAGTATGCTTATACTGTAGATATACGGTATAAGATCTATTAGGAAAAACATGATTACAGATACATAAGATTGACTATCAAATACATGGTAGAACATGGTTACAGAAATATAAGATCTAGTATGAAATACTTAGTAGAGTATGGTTACAGCTAAAAAAGATCTAGTATGAAAAACTTGGAAAGTATGGTTACACATAAATAAGATCTACTGTCAAATACATGAGAGAAGATGATTACAGGAATGTAAGATCTAGTAAGAAATGCTTAGGAGAGTATGGTTACAGATAAATAAAATCTAGTACGAAATACTTGGAGGAGTATGCTTACATAAAAATAAAATTAGTACGAAATGCTTGGAGGAGTATGGTTACATAAAAATAAAATCTAGTATGAAATACTTGGAGGAGTATGGTTACATAAAAATAAAATCTAGTATGGTTACATAAAAATAAAATCTAGTAAGGAAAACTTGGAGGAGTATGGTTACATAAAATAAAATCTAGTATGAAATACTTGGGGGAGTATGGTTACATAAAAATAAAATCTAGTATGAAATACTTGGGGGAGTATGGTTACATAAAAATAATATTTAGTATGAAATACTTGGGGGAGTATGGTTACATAAAAATAATATTTAGTATGAAATGCTTGGAGGAGTATGGTTACATAAAAATAAGATCTAGTATGAAATACTTGGAGAAGTATGGTTACATAAAAATAAAATCTAGTAAGGAAAACTTGGAGGAGTATGGTTACATAAAATAAAATCTAGTATGAAATACTTGGGGGAGTATGGTTACATAAAAATAATGTTTAGTATGAAATACTTGGGGGAGTATGGTTACATAAAAATAAAATCTAGTATGAAATACTTGGGGGAGTATGGTTACATAAAAATAATATTTAGTATGAAATACTTGGGGGAGTATGGTTACATAAAAATAATATTTAGTATGAAATACTTGGAGGAGTATGGTTACATAAAAATAAGATCTAGTATGAAATACTTGGAGAAGTATGGTTACATAAAAATAAAATCTAGTAAGGAAAACTTGGAGGAGTATGGTTACATAAAATAAAATCTAGTATGAAATACTTGGGGGAGTATGGTTACATAAAAATAATATTTAGTATGAAATACTTGGGGGAGTATGGTTACATAAAAATAATATTTAGTATGAAATACTTGGAGGAGTATGGTTACATAAAAATAAGATCTAGTATGAAATACTTGGAGAAGTATGGTTACAGAAAAATAAAATCTAGTATTAAATACTTGGAGGAGTATGGTTACAGAAAAATAATATTTAGTATGAAATACTTGGAGGAGTATGGTTACATAAAAATAAAATCTAGTATTAAATACTTGGAGGAGTATGGTTACATAAAAATAAAATCTAGTATTAAATACTTGGAGGAGTATGGTTACATAAAAATAAATCTAGTATTAAATACTTGGAGGAGTATTGTTACATAAAAAATAATATTTAGTATGAAATACTTGGGGGAGTATGGATACATAAAAATAAAATCTAGTACGAAATACTTGGGGGAGTATGGTTACATAAAAATAATATTTAGTATGAAATACTTGGGGGAGTATAGATACATAAAAATAATATTTAGTATGAAATACTTGGGGGAGTATGGATACATAAAAATAAAACCTAGTATGAAATACTTTGGGGAGTATGGTTACAGCTCCAAAAAAATCTAGTTTTAAATACTTGGGAGTGGGGGGGGGTATAGTTACAGTAAAAAAAAATATCTAGTAAGAACAATTTATATAAGCTCTAGTAGAAAAAAATACAGGAAAACATGGTTACAGATAAATAAGATCTACTATTAAATATTTGGGAGAGCATGGTTACAGAAAAATAAGATGTAGTATGAAAAACTTGAAGAATATAGTTACATCCTATAAATAGGATCTAGTAGGAAAAACCTGGAAAGCACGGTTACAGATAAATAAGATCTATTATAAGACTTGTGAGAGCATGATTACAGAACAATAACTTTTTGGTTATGAAATACTTGGGAAAGTATGGTTACAGATAAATAAGATCTAGTATGAAAAGACAGTCTGGGGTTTATTTACCAAAGCTGGAGAGTGCAAAGTCTGGTGCAGCTCTGCTTAGAAACCAATCAGCTTTCAGGTTTTATTGCCAAAGCTTAACTGAACAAGCTGAAGTTAGAAGCTGATTGGCTACCATGCACAGCTGCACCAGATTCTGAGTGCACCAGTTTCAGTAAATCTCATCCCTCCTCTGTGTCCAGAGTTGTATATCTGTACATGTGTTTATACAAGAACCAGCATATACCTGCCATACAGACATTGATTTCTTGGACTGCTGTATGCAGCACCTATTGTTTCCAGGAGGGGAAATACCTCTGAATTTTAAATCATACAGTCCCAGGCGTCCATGTGTATGAGGCCTAAAGCCTTTGTTGGTAAGAAGGAGATAATGTGGATCTCTGGTTTCCATTCAAGCAGTTTAGTTTCAGCCCTTCTCTAAAACTCATACAATGTGATTATATTACAGAAAGCAAATGTTCTTAATTGCAGGTTATAATTTGGAGTGGCATCAGCTCCGTCCCTCCCAGCTGGCTGTGGCACAGAAGCTGTTGTCACATGTGTGCTCCATCGCGGACTCCAGCACTCAGAACCTGGACCTGGGCTCATTTGAGAAAGTTGAATTTCTAATCTGTGTTCCTCCATCTGAAGTCACTTATCAGCAAACACTTTCCCACGTGTGGAATTCAGGTAAAGAATAGTCAGACTTTTGTCATAGAAAAGGTTTAGCTAAAGTTTTTCTGCAGCCAAAGTCAAAATGCATTATGGAAATACATGTACAGATTCATCCTTCCTAGCCAGTGCTTTTTTTTTTTTTTTTAATTCTGACATTGTTAGAGAACCACAGGTGTTGGCAGTAATTGCGTATTCTGGGAAAACTTCATCCCAAGCCTACAATTCTGTGCACAACAGATTCTCAGCTCCCCTCATTAACGATCCCAGCTCAGTCTGGCACTCATAATGTTATTAGATTTGTTCGATGCTCTGATGTCAAAATGGCTTACATTGTCAGATATGCAGATTTCTTTTAGAAGGAGAAATTATGAACTTGTATAAGGAATACAGTAACGAAAATATGACAAGATTGTTAAAAATTACTTTTAGGCAACTATTACAATTAAACTACATTTACTCCATCGCTTGACAGGAGCGGTGCATTTTTTAGCACATTTATCACTATCAAAGGTGCGTTTCATGGGGTTTTTATTAGCACATTACACTTGCAACACTATAAAATGCAGGAATATGGATGCAATCATTTACATGAATAATGGTTTATTCATTAAAACTTAGTGCATGCATGATTTTAATTATCGTAATTTGCATCACTGCAAATCATATTTTTAATTTACTGTAGATATTATGCACATTAAATGATCACTTCATGCATTATTTTGTAAGATAGTTCACAAATATTACTAATGTGCTATCACTCCATAAAAGAAACCAGTACTAAGAGAATATGGGATGCCATTGTTGACCACCCCTTTAAAAATCTATCATGCTTATCCAGTGTTTTCTTTCTGAGGCACAGATCTGAAAGAAAGACAGTTGTGACATCCTTCTGACTTCTTGATCTGGGTGCTTGTTTTGGGTCAAGTTCTCAGAAACTATAGCAGCTAAAGACAGGCAGGCAACTAGTATTTTTTAAAGGAGCTCAGCACTGGCAACCCTTGTTTTACTATATGTATGTCAAAGAGTGAACTGTTAATCGCAAGCTGATGGCTGCTATCTCAGCAATCAGCTAGTGCTCTGTTTGTTCGGCTGGCTCCAGGCTGCAAAGTGAAGGCGCCGGCTCTATAGCCACTGATCACTTTCACAGATCGGTGCCCCCTTCCCCCTATGGTTTCCAGGAGCCTGGGACCACAAACCAAAGGATGGCGAGCAGGAAGAGACAGAGACATATGCATCCTAATTAAAAGGTATGCGCTAATAACAAAATTTATACAAAGGTGTATATCATCATCCAAAAAAAAAAAAAAAACATTTAGGGTTTTAAATAAATAATTGTAGTGACCAAACATAAATTAGTGTCCAAAAAATATATATTAGTGTCCAAAAAAAAAATATATATATCTTCAGTGACTTGAACCAATTGTGAAAAATCCACCACCAAAGGAGATTAAATGAACTCACCAGAGCTAATGGCTGGTCAGATTATAATGGCTGACCAGCCATTAGCTCTGGTGAGTTCATTTAATCTCCTTTGGTGGTGGATTTTTCACAATTGGTTCAAGTCACTGAAGATATATATATATATATTTTTTTTTGGACACTAATATATATTTTTTGGACACTAATTTATGTTTGGTCACTATAATTATTTATTTAAAACACTAAATGTTTTTTTTTTTTGGATGATGATATACACCTTTGTATAAGTTGGTTATTAGCGCATACCTTTTAATTAGGATTATTGTTGCCAAAATTTATTTTGGGTGGGATATGCTGCTGACACTTTAGTGTTTTTTGTAAGTGGCGCTTTTTTCTTTTTTAATTTGGTAGAGACATATGCATGCCTTGATCTCACCTGTAAACAAAGAAATTGGAATTGATGATGATTTCATCTCTTCTGGTTTCAGATCCTCCATTTTTCTGGCTGGTATAGTCAAGGGTACATCTAACTGAGCAGATCTGTGCTCAGTTAGATGGTGTGAAGGGTAGCGGAGATGTATGTAAACCAAAGTCGACCCACATGTGTTACATATCACCTCGAACTTCAGAGGGAGAGCAATAATTCTAGCACAAGAGCTCCTGGTTACCTCTAAACTGGTGAGCTGTAAAGGTTTTTTTTTAGTCCTCATCTATGGAGATTTTTGGGTACCATAGCTTTTTGCAATATCACGGGTGCACGCAATTTTAAGACTTATCATGTTTGATGTCTATCTACTCGACACAAGCTCATCTTTTATATTTGACTAAAGCATGGTTATTACATTGCGCATGTTTGCACTAAAATTAATTTAATTTTTTTTTTTTTACTGAAAACGTGTGTTTGATAAACAGTTGCGCAAATATCACATGACATGCTTCTCCTCTGGTTTCATAAAATATGTAATGTTTGGGGGTTTAGGCAATTTCATTGAGAAAAATGAAGATTTTTACATGTGTATAAAAAAAGAAAACATTTGCTCTAGAACCGAACTAGTTAAAATGCCAATATCCTCTGACAAGCTGAATTAAAACTTTATATTAATTGCCAAGGAGGAAATCAGGACAATGAGATAATTTAGGAGCAATATCATAGAACTTTGTAAGATAAAATATTATTATTATTATTATTATTACATTGAGTTTATATAGCGCCAAAGGGTTTGCTCAGCGCTGTACAATAGAGGGGGGGACAATACATGAAACATTACAGCAGCTACGAACAGCACACACGAGGGTTAAGAGGGCCCTACTCTTTCGAGCTTACAATCTGGGAGGGAGGGGGTAGTGGTACAGGAGGAAGTGGCTGTGGGGGATGGAGTGGTAGGAGGAATGAAGGAGAGCAGCAGTTAGGTGAGGGTGGGGTAGGCTTCCCTGAAGAGGTGGGTTTTCAGGGAGCGCCTGAAGGTGAGAAGGGAAGGTGACAGTCTGATGGATTGGGGTAGTGAGTTCCAGAGGATGGGGGAGGACCTGGAGAAGTCTTGCAGACGTGCGTGTGAGGAGGAGACCAGGGAGCAAGATAGAAGGAGGTCCTGTGAAGAGCGAAGGGTACGGGTAGGGTGGTACTTGGGAATCAGGTCGGTGAGGTAGTTAGGGGCAGTGTTGTGAATGGCTTTGTAGGTCAGAGTGAGTAGTTTGAATTTGATGCGTTGGGCGATAGGGAGCCAGTGGAGGGAGAGGCAGAGGGGGGTGGCAGAGGTGGAGCGGCTGGTGAGGTGGATGAGTCTGGCAGCTGAGTTCAGGATGGTCTGAAGTGGGGAGAGTTTGCACTGAGGTAGGCCGGTGAGGAGGGAGTTGCAGTAGTCAAGGCGTGAGATAATCAGGGAGTGTACGAGTAGTTTAGCGGTGTCTGGGGTAAGGAAGGTGCGTATTTTGGCGATATTGCGGAGGTGGAGCCTGCATGTGTTTGTCAGTGATTTGACATGAGGTTGGAAGGAGAGGTTAGAATCCAGAATGACCCCAAGGACTTTGGCTTGCGGGGCGGGATTGATGGTGGTGATGTTAGTAGTGATGGATAGGATGGGGGGGGGGGCGCGGGCAGGAGGGAAGACGAGAGGCTCGGTTTTGGAGAGGTTGAGTTTGAGGAAATGGAGCGACATCCAGTCAGAGATGTCGTTTAGGAGGTGAGTGATGCGGGCGGAGAAAGTGGAGGTGAGGTGAGGGGTGGAGAGGTAAATTTGAGTGTCATCAGCATAGAGATGGTAGTTGAAGCCGTGGGAGTGTATGAGTTTGCCAAGGGAGGAGGTGTAGATGGAGAAGAGAAGGGGTCCAAGGACAGAGCCCTGGGGGACCCCAACAGAGAGGGGGAGGGAAGGGGAGGTGGCACCATTGTAGGAAACGCTGAAGGAGCGTCGGGATAGGTAAGAGGAGAACCAGGAGAGAGCGGTGTCTCTGATGCCAAGGGAGAATAGTTTATTAAGGAGGAGGGGGTGGTCAACTGTGTCGAAGGCCGCGGAGAGGTCCAGGAGGAGGAGGACAGAGTAGTCGCCTTTGGCTTTGGCGGTAAGTAGGTCGTTGGTCATTTTGAGGAGGGCAGTTTCGGTGGAGTGTAGGGGACAGAAGCCGGACTGTAGTGGATCAAGGAGGTTGTTGTCAGTTAGGTGGGCGCTTAGGCGGTTGTAGACTAAGCGCTCCAGGAGTTTGGAAGTGAGTGGCAGCAGGGAGATGGGTCTGAGGTTGTTTGGGTCAGAGGGGTCCAGGGAGGGCTTTTTGAGTATGGGGGTGATGTGCGCATGCTTTAGGGGGGAGGGGAATACGCCGGTAGAGAGGGAGAGATTGAAGATGTGGGTGAGGGAGCAGATGAGGGAAGAGGGGGGTGACTGGAGGAGTCGAGAGGGGATAGGGTCTAGGGGGCAGGTAGTGAGGCGGGCTTCAGAGAAGACCCTGGTGACTTCCTCAGTGGTAGCGGGGCTGAAGGAGTGCAGAGCTGGTGGGGTTACGGTAAGCGGGGTCTTGGGTGTGGAGGGGGGCAGTGCGGTTGCGAGGTCAGAGGAGGGAAGAGATGAGGGGGAGATGGGGGGGGGGAGGCTAGGTGGGGAGGTAGATTGCGAGTTGACTATGTCCTGACGGATTGCATCAATTTTATTGTGGAAATGAGTGGCAATCTCGTGGGCGGTGAGTGAGGGTACTGAGTGGAGGAGGGGGGGGAGAGAGCAGGGAGTTGAAGGTGGAGAAGAGTCGGCGAGGGCAGGAGGAGAGGGTGTTAATCAGGTTTACGAAGTAAGCCTGCTTGGCGGCGTGGAGGGAGGAGGTGTAAGTGAGGAAGGCAGATTTGTAGAGGGAGAATGAACGGGGGACCTGGTTTTGCGCCATAGTCTCTCCAGCGCACGACTGCGACGTTTGAGGCATTTAGTGTGGTCGTTCTGCCATGGTTGGAGCGGTCTGGGTTTGATGTTGCGTGTGGTTAGGGGTGCCAGAGAGTCTAGGGTAGCTGATAGTGAGTCGTTGTACGTGTTAGTGGCTAGGTCAGGACAAGACAGTGGAAGGATGCTGTCGTGTAGGCGGTCGGCAGCAGCTGAGTGGAGGGGGGCCGGGTTCAGGTTGCGAAGGTTGCGGCTGGTGATGGTTTGGCGCTCTGGGGGGGGGGGAGTTAGGGGAAGGGGAGATGGAGAACGTGAGGAGGTGGTGGTCGGAGAGAGGGAAGGGGGTGTTAGAGAACTGGTTGAGGGTACAGAGGTGGGAGAAGACGAGGTCCAGGGTGTTCCCAATGATGTGGGTGGAGGATTGAGTGTGCTGTGTGAGCGCGAAGGAGGAGGTTAGGTGGAGGAATTGGGAAGTAGCCGGGCTGTTGTCATTGATGGGGATATTGAAGTCCCCGAGGATGATGGTTGGTAGCTCAGAGGAGAGGAAGAAGGGAAGCCAGGCAGCGAAGTCATCCAGGAAGCGGGGTATGGATCCGGGAGGCCTGTAGATCACTGCGATCCTTAGGGGGGGGTGGGTGAGAAGAGCCGCATGCAGTGAGCCTCGAAGGAGGAGAAAGTTAGGGAGGGAGGATTAGGGAGGACCTGGAAGGTGCTCAGCGGTGATAGGAGCAGGCCGACCCCACCACCTTTGTGACCGCTCAGTCTTGGTGAATGGGACCAGACGAGACCTCCATAGGAGAGTGCCGCAGGGAAGGTGGAGTCAGTGGCCTGTACCCAGGTTTCGGTGATGGCTAGGAGGTTAAGGGAGCGGGAGATAAAGAGGTCATGGATGGCAGTAAGTTTGTTGCAGACCGAGCGGGCGTTCAGGAGTGCAACCGAGAGAGGGGGGATGGATGCGGGGAGAAGGGGCACAGATATGAGGTTGAGGGGGTTACGGCAGCTGGGGGAGCAGGGGGGTCCCTAGAGGAGGGGTGAGGTGGCGAGGGGCCAGGGTTCGGGGAGATGTCCCCAGCAGATAGGAGAAGGAGAAGGGTGAGGAAGGTGGCATGGGAATGGGAAGTGTAGGAGCGTGTGGGTCTGATAGTGGTGGCACGTGGGTCGACGGGGGAGTGGAGTAGCAGGAGGAGGTGGTGAGTGCCGTAGTGGGGAGAGGGGAGGGGAAATATTAACTCATGAAATAATTCCACACTTGAGCAATAGGGACCTGTCTGGATGAAGATACTGCATTGTCTTTGTAAAATATTGTGTCTTTACGTATACAGGTGTTCTTGCAGAAATTGGCATTGAGAGGAAGCAGCTCACTAAAAGTTGTTTGGAGCAGTACATCATGAAGTTGGATACAGAGGCTCCCAGTAAATTTAAATCTTTCCTACAAAAAGCCATGCAGAATCCACACACACTGTTTGTCTTGCTTCATGACCACGCTCACTGGGATCTCACAAGGTATTTTTTATTTGCATATTAGGAGATGCAAAGACAATTGATCCTGACTTTGATTCTATTCTATTTCTCTAATTATTATTATTCTTTCACTCTGATAAATCTATTTCAATCAAAAAACTTTATTTTTTTCAAAGCTTTCCAGTCTATCTGTTATATCGCTTGGTTGAGTTAAAGCAATAGACAAACAAAAAAATAAATTACAAACCTGCATTCATAGACTCCTAAACAACTGATCCAGAGAAAAGTAAAAATTATTTCAAAGCATGGTCTAATTTACTGCAACAGGGAAAAAAAAATCCCTTCCTGATCGTCTATGGCAGTGTTTTTCAACTCCAGTCCTCATGGACCCCCAACAGGTCATGTTTTCAGGATTTCCATTATTTTGCACAGGTGATTTAATCAGTTTCACTGTCTTAGTAATTACCACAGCTGTTTCATCTGAGGGGAATCTTGAAAACATGACCTGTTGGGGGTCCATGAGGACTGGAGTTGAGAAACACTGGTCTATGGCAATTGGATACTCCCTGGATACGGCAGCTTTTCTCAACCTTTTTTTGTAACATGAATAAACCCTGGAAATTACTTTCAGGCCTCAAGGAACCCCTGACATTATTTACTACACCTACAGCTCAAAGGGGTTTATTTACTAGAGTTGGAAAGTGCAAAATCAGTCTCACTTCCACATAGAAACCAACCAGCCCTCTAACCTCAGCTTGTTTAATTAAGCTTTGGCAATAAAACCTGGAAGCTGATTGGTTTCTATGCAGAAGTGAGCCTGATTGTGTACTTTTCAGCTTTAGTAAAGAAACCCCACACAGATTATTAGCATGATGATCACTGGGATGGATGCTTCCTACACTAGTGGTCAGTGAGAAGAGTGACCCCTTTACAGATACAGTATCTAAAGATCATTTGTGTCAATAGTTGCATATGAGAGGCAGAAATTGCTCATTGCTAATGGAACCGCTAACAACCTTTAAAGCAGAGGCATCTAACCTTATGACTTTCCTGGGCCACATTGGAAGAAGAGGAATTGTCTTTGGTCACACATAAAATACACTAACAATAAGGATAGCTGATGAGCTGAAAAAGTTGGGCAGATCACAAGTTAAAGAAGAACTCTGGGATAGGCAAAACAATCACCCATTAGTACACACCCCCACACAAAGCACTAAACAGTTAATAACGTTTTAAAAATCCTTACCATTCAGGAGAAAGGTCTAATTTAATTTTTATGACCTCATCTCTGTAATTCAAAATACAACATCATCTGCTCTACCAAGGAGGAGGTGTAACAGCAGGGATTACATCATTTCCTCTCCTCTCTCTCGTCAGTAAAAGGAAACTACAGTTCCCATCAACCACAGGGAATTGTAGTGAATGTGTGGGAAGGGGCTCGTATACTAGGCATGTACATGTTGAATGTGTCTGGGATTGAGACTGCCCAGCACTGAAAGTGGGGCTGAATGACATCACTGCTTCCTGGAGAAATAACTGTAGAAGTGATATGGCAAGACCAATGGCTGGGAGAATATGAGTCAGAGCAGCCACTAGTCTTACAAAATGGAAACCAAAGAGCATTAATGGTTTCATTGAAAATGATTAGACTATTTCAGAGCAACTACTGAGTGAACCATATAAGGATGGATGACAAATTCAGTGAAGGTAGGAAATCAGCAACAAGGACACGTAAAGATGTTTTTTTCCCAGAGTTCTGCTTTAACGATCACTGATATAGCTAATGTACCTATCTGAGTAATAAAACTTAATTTTTTGTAATATTTTTTATTATTAAAGTAAAGGCAGCATAAAACTAGCACGTTATTTGACACTGTTTTTGATAAACTAATGCATCAATAATTGGGTCAGTGGTGGAAAGTGCTCATCAAATATTTTGGTTCTAATTTTACCCTTATTGTGGTTCACCCTGGAAAATAGTTCCTCATAAATATAGGTGCTGCTGAAAACTGATGACATGAATAAGGCATGATTGTGAAGAGACATTTTTCTTTGGGAAGATAAAAGTCCAGTAAAGAGACTTTGCCAAATTTTTGTTTGGCCACATATGCAAACACATTTTTGCAAAAAAAAAAAAAAAAAATCAACATTTTAAAGTAAGTTTACAAATTTGTGTTGGGCAGGTTGGACACCCCTGCTCTAGAGGAGCCTTAGGGTTCCATTAAAACATGGTTGAGATAGGCTGATTTACTGTCATTTTTCTTTATAAATGGTATTAGCTTGTGAAATTATAAACCCAAACAGCATTTATTGAAACAATTTACAGAAAAATGGCTCCTGTGGAAGTTTGGTAAACATTTTAACAGCTGTTTCTGAAAAGAAGCTTTTCCATAAAAGAGCGACCCCTTGTGTGTGAACAACTTTGCACCAGGTTCACTGTATAGACCATGTATGTATTTATTCATGGTGATCATATGCCCCCTTATTTGCCGCTTCTCAAGAGAGAATAGATTCAAATCAGCTAATCTTTCCTCATAGCTGAGCTCCTTATCAGTTTGGTTGCCCTTTTCTGCATTCTCTCCAGGTCCCCAATTACCTTTTCTGAACTGGCACCCAAAACTGAACTGCATATTCTAGATTATGTTTTTCCAGTGTTTTGTAAAGGGGGCAAAATTATGTCTGTCTTCAGTCTTTGCCACTTTTAATAAAATAAATGTTTCTTCCTTAAAGCTGCATTGCAATTGCTACCACATATCGTGGTAGCTGGGTATCTTGGCAGCATTGCTACCACAATACCCAAATCCTGCTTTGTAATTTCATTTACTCAATTTTACTTTCTTTAGGCCCCATTACCACTTGCAAATGAGGCCGTTTACAATTACCTGCAGAAGATCTATGCGAATGGATATGGTACCATTCACATATAATTGCTCATGCAGAGATTACCTGTGCATGTTCGAAGCTGTACACCTACAGTGACATGTAAATATTTGTGACTAGCTTCGGGTGCTTATCAGGCTCTCGGGACTTCCCACCTGCACTTATCATGATTGGCTGCACGGAGCTTACATCATCAGGAGCCCGTCCTACCAGGCCCCCACATTGTTAGTAGTTGACCATGAGCTGTTCTTGACAGCTCGATTACAGTTTTGGGGGATGCCGATGAAGCCTTTCCTGGCACAAGACTGTAATGCATATTTGCTGCTGGTGGGCCTTAATATCTGCCACCGCATTAATGGGTATTATTGTCATAAAGGGGTTAATCAACCAATGTATTTGCAGTTGCATTCATTGGATAGGCACATATCAGTTACAGCATATACCCTTCTTGAGCTTTATCACCTACTATACTTTAATATCTTAGTTACGTGTTTAGTACTAAAAGTCTTTGTAACATACCAGGCAGTCATAAAAACACACCAGGCAGATAGAATAGGAAGGTAAAAAATACAGTAAGCAGTAACACAGACATATGTTTTTTTTTTCCTCGGTGTGTAATAAAACCTTTGTATTGATAGTCAGGAAACAATGACACTGACAATCAGAAGTCTAGTGTGCTTACTTACCCAAAAGCCTCTTCACTTCCTGACCTTTCATTATTAAATGAACATCCAGGGTACAAGTCACGTCCCTTGTCACAATGACATACATGCATTAGTGGGAAATGCTGTGCAGCCTGCCTCCCACATTAGAATGATATGCAGTAAATGTGTGTCTACACTTCCTCTCAATTAATGGTCATTACATCTCACTGTAACCCCTTCATGTCTTTTCCTGCACAGCTCTTTATACAGTCCATACTCTCAGAATGAGCCCTCCATCGGGCTGGTGGACCGTCTGCTGAACTGCAGGGAAGTCAGAGATTCTCCCAACATTCTGATTCTTCATGTAACCTCCTGCCCCTATGCTCTGCAGACCCAGAACACCCATATCAGCCCATACAACGAGATCCATTGGCCATCCTCTCATAGTCACGTAGGTATTGTGTAGTAAAAAAGAAATGGGTTGTGTCCATCGTAAATTTCTGTGTTGACATGGGGTGGGAAAAGGGATGAGTGCAGGCAATATGGAAATTTTTCTATTGTCTTCTAATGATAGAGCTGTTTAGATCTCTAAATACAATGTATTACCTATTCTGTATTACTTTAGGAGAGTGACTAGTATGAAAATTATCTTATATGCAAAGCCAGACACCCATAATAGTTTGTTGTTGTGTGGTCTCCATGCTTTAAGATTATTTGGGGTCAAACTTGTGGTGTATTTTAGATGTCTCCATCCCACCATTGACAACTATGATGATGTAATTCTTTCCATATGTATCTGACTGTTAGAGGTGTGGGGACTGTTTTTATTGTACAGAAACCCTTGCTGTTTCCTGACATTACTCTAGGACTAGAATCACTTTCCATTCTGATCTCCCCAGGTTCAGGCCCCATTGCAGCAGTGTGAGCTGATATGGTGGTAGTTCCACCAGTGACTGTGTTACAGTACATAGTTGTTAGTATGGAAATAGTGATTAGGTGTGGTTTCCTTTATTTAGAAACTTTTTGATGCAAAAAAATTAGAAAATTGTAGTAAAGGCACACAAACATAGTATGTGTTAAAGATGAACTTTAGACAAACAAACATATATACAGTCAGGTCCATAAATATTGGGACATTGACACAATTTCAACATTTTTGGCTCTATACACCACCACAATGGATTTGAAATGAAACGAACAAGAAGTGCTTTAACTTCAGATTGTCAGCTTTAATTTGAGGGTATTTACATCCAAATCAGGTGAACCTTTTAGGAATGACAACAGTTTCCATATGTGCCTCCCACTTGTTAAGGGACCAAAAGTAATGGGACAGAATAATAATCATAAATAAAACTTTCACTTTTTAATACTTGGTTGTAAATCCTTTGCAGTCAATTACAGCCTGAAGTCTGGAACGCATAGACAACACCAGACGCTGGGTTTCATCCCTGGTGATGCTCTGCCAGGCCTCTACTGCAACTGTCTTCAGTTCCTGCTTGTTCTTGGGGCATTTTCCCTTCAGTTTTGTCTTCAGCAAGTGAAATGCATGCTCAATCGGATTCAGGTCAGGTGATTGACTTGGCCATTGCATAACATTCCACTTCTTTCCCTTAAAAAAACTCTTTGGTTGCTTTTGCAGTATGCTTTGGGTCATTGTCCATCTGCACTGTGAAGCGGCGTCCAATGAGTTGTGAAGCATTTGGCTGAATATGAGCAGATAATATTCCCGAAACACTTCAGAATTCATCCTGCTGCTTTTGTCAGCAGTCACATCATCAATAAATACAAGAAAACCAGTTCCATTGGCAGCCATACATGCCCACGCCATGACACTACCACCACCATGCTTCACTGATGAGGTGGTATGCTTAGGATCATGAGCAGTTCCTTTCCTTCTCCATACTCTTCTCTTCCCATCACTCTGGTACAAGTTGATCTTGGTCTCATCTGTCCATAGGATGTTGTTCCAGAACTGTGAAGGATTTTTTAGATGTCGTTTGGCAAACTCTAATCTGGCCTTCCTGTTTTTGAGGCTCACCAATGGTTTCCATCTTGTGGTGAACCCTCTGTAAGTCTTCTCTTGATTGTTGACTTTGACACACATACACCTACCTCCTGGAGAGTGTTCTTGATCTGGCCAACTGTTGTGAAGGGTGTTTTCTTCACCAGGGAAAGAATTCTTCAGTCATCCACCACAGTTTTTTTCTGTGGTCTTCCGGGTCTTTTGGTGTTGCTGAGCTCACCGGTGCGTTCCTTCTTTTTAAGAATGTTCCAAACAGTTGTTTTGGCCACGCCTAATGTTTTTGCTATCTCTCTGATGGGTTTGTTCTGTTTTTTCTGCCTAATGATGGCTTGCTTCACTGATAGTGACAGCTCTTTGGATCTCATCTTGAGAGTTGACCGCAACAGATTCCAAATGCAAATAGCACACTTGAAATGAACTCTGGACCTTGTATCGGCTCATTGTAATTGGGATAATGAGGTAATAACACACACCTGGCCATGGAACAGCTGAGAAGTCAATTGTCCCATTACTTTTGGTCCCTTAACAAGTGGGAGGCACATATGCAAACTGTTGTAATTCCTACACCGTTCACCTGATTTGGATGTAAATACCCTCAAATTAAAACTGACAGTCTGCAGTTAAAGCACATCTTGTTCGTTTCATTTCAAATCCATTGTGGTGGTGTATAGAGCAAAAAATGTTAGAATTGTGTCCATGTCCCAATATTTATGGACCTGACTGTATATATATATATATATATATATATATATATATATATACTCACCAGCCACTTTATTAGGTACACCTTGCTACTACTGGGTTGGACCCCCTTTTGCCTTCATGGGACCTACCTTAATTCTTCGTTGCATAGATTCAACAAGGTGTTGGAAACATTCCTCAGAGATTTTGGTCCATATTGACATGAATTACTGTTGCCTTTCTACCATCTCCAATCAGTCTGCCCATTCTCCTCTGACCTCTGACATCAACAAGTCATTTTCATCCACACAACTACCTTTCACTGGATATTCCTTCTTTTCAGGACCATTCTCTGTAAACACTAGAGATGGTTGTGTGTGAAAATCCCAGTAGATCAGCAGTTTTTAAAATACTCAGACCAGCCTGTCTGGCACCAACAACCATGCCACATTCAAAGACACTTGAATCCCCTTTCTTCCCATTCTGATGCTCGGTTTGAACATCAGCAAATTGTCTTCACTACATCTAAATGGCTAAATGCATTGAGTTGCTGCCATGTGATTGACTGATTAGCAATTTGTGTTACCAAGTAATTGAACAGGTGTACCTAATAAAGTGGCCAGTGAGTGTATTTGTATATACACTGCTCAAAAAAATTAAAGGAACACTTTGAAAACACATTAGATCTCAATGGGGAAAAATATCATGCTGGATATCTATACTGGTAGGGACTGGGTAATGTGTTAGGAACGTAAGGATGCCCCATCATTGATGGAAATATGAAAATTATCAACCTGAACCTGAGGACTGAATTCAAAGACACCCTGAAAATCAAAGTGAAAAAATGATGCAGCAGGCTAGTCCATTTTGCTGAAATTTCATTGCAGCAACTCAAAATTGTACTCAGTAGTTTGTATGGCCCCCACATGCTTGTATGCATGCCTGACAATGTCAGATAGTGTCCTGGGGTATTTCCTCCTAGATCTGGGCCAAGGCACCACTGAGCTCCTGGACAGTCTGAGGTGCAACCTGGCGGTGGCGGATAGACCGAAACATGATATTCCAAAAGTGTTCTATTGGTGTTCTAGTGAGCGTGGGGGCCATTCAATGGTATCAATTCCTTCATCCTCCAGGAACTGCCTGCATACATCTCATCACATGAGGCCAGGCATTGTCGTACACCATGAGGAACCCAGGACCCACTGTACCAGCGTAGGGTCTGACAGTGGGTCCGAGGATTTCATCCCAATACCTAATGGTAGTCAGGGTGTCATTGTCTAGCCTGTAGAGGTCTGTGCATCCCTCCATGGATATACCTCCCCAGACCATCACTGACCCACCACCAAAATGGTCATGCTGAATGATGTTACAAGCAGCATAACATTCTCCACGGCTTCTCCAGACCCTTTCATGTCTGTCATATGTGCTCAGGGTGAACCTGCTCTCATCTGTGAAAAGCACAGGGCAACAAGTAGCGAACCTGCCAATTCTGGTGTTCAATGGCAAATGCCAATCGAGCTCTATGGTGAGCACAGGGCCCACTAGAGGACATCAGGCCCTCAGGTCACCCTCATGAAGTCTGTTTCTGATTGTTTGGTCAGAGACATTCACACCAGTGGCCCTGAAGATCGGTGCCCAGCAGTGCCACCCACAAGTTCCGCTCACCTGTGCCCAGCAGTGCACCCACCTGTGCCCAGAAGTGCACCCCTACCTGTGCCCAGTAGTGCCACCCACCTGTGCCCACCAGTGCCACCCACCTGTGCCCACCAGTGCCACCACACCAGTGCCCATCAGCGCAGCCCAGCAGTGCTGCCAGTCAGTGCCACCAGTCAGTGCCCAGCGGTTGTGCCAGTCAGTGCCCAGCAGTGCCGCCAGTCAGTGCCCAGCAGTGATGCCAGTCAGTGCCACCTATCAGTGCTGTCTATCAGTACCCATTATCAGTGTCGCCTATCCGTGACACCTCATTAGTGCTGCCTATCAGTGCCACCTATCCGTGCCACCTCATTAGTGCTGCCTATCAGTGCCGCCTATCCGTGCCACCTCATTAGTGATGCCTATCAGTGTCGCCTATCAGTGCCCTTCAGTGCTGCCTATCAGTGCCCATCAGTGCCGCCTATCAGTGCCCATCAGTGCTGCCTCATCAACGCACATCAGTGAAGGAGCAACATTACCTGTTTGAAAAATTTTATAATAGAAACAAAGAAACTTTTTTTGTTTATAGCGCAAAAAGTAAAGTGCCCAGCTGCGATTAAATACCACCAAAATAAAGCTCTATTTGTGAGAAAAAAATGATAAAAATTTCATATGGGTACAATCTTGCATGACTGCGCAATTGTCAATCAAAGTGTGACAGCGCTTAACCACTTGCCTACCGGGCACTTATACCCCCTTCCTTACCAGGCCAATTTTCAGCTTTCAGCGCTGTCGCATTTTGAATGACAATTGCGCGGTCATGCAACACTGCACTCATATGAAATTTTTATCATTTTTTCACACAAATAGAGCTTTCTTTTGGTGGTATTTACTCGCCGCTGGGTGTTTTATTTTTTGTGCTATAAACAGAAAAAGAGCAAATATTTTGAAAAAAAAGTTTTTCTTTGTTTCTACTATAACATTTTGCAAACAGGTAACTTTTCTCCTTCACTGATGTGCATTGATGAGGCTGCACTGATAGGCAGCACTTATAGGCAGCACTGATGGGCACTGATAGGCGGCACTGATGGGGTGGGATGGATAGGCAGCACTGACGGGCACTGATAGGTGATACTGATGTGCTGGCACTGATGAGGCGGCACTGATATGCAAAAATGATGGCACTGATTGTCCGAACTGATAAGCAACACTGATAGGCGGCACTGATGGGCAGCATTGATAGGTGGCACTGATAGCACTGCCTGGCGGCACTGCTGGGTGGCACTGATGGGCACTGCTGGGTGGCACAGGTGGGTGGCACTGATGGGCACTGCTGGGTGGCACTGATGGGCACTGGTGGGCGGCACTGGTGGGTGGCACTGCTGGGCACAGGTGGGCAGCACTGGTGGGTGGCACTGCTGGGCACCGATCATCAGGGCACTGGTCATCAGTGCCCTGATAATCGGTGCCGATCCCTTCTCTGACCATTGCTGGTTATCGGCAGTACTTTCCTCACGCTCTGACAGCGTGAGAAAAGTGCAGCCGATAACTGCATTTATTGGTGATCTGCTGTGTCATTGGATACGGCTGATCAAGTGGTAAAAGGCCACTGTGATTGGCCTTTTACCACATCATGTGATCAGCTGTGTCCTTAGGACACAGTATTCACGGAGATTGCCGGGTGCGCCCTGGGGGCGTGCAGGAGGGCACATTCTGGGAATACGTCATATGGCGCCCTCCCAGAGCTGGCCAGCCACAGTGAAGCCATCATTCGGCTATCTGCGGTCGGCAAGTGGTTTAAGGGAAATCTCCGCAGTGGGACAAAAATGGCTGGATTTTTTCTATAAATGTACTGTAGCATACATATGTTTGTAATTGTAGGAAGTAAAAATGGCTACAGAGAATGGCCATGTCCACAGTATATCTTGGTATATAATATGTATGTGTTCACATCATGAAGTGCTGAGATTAATGTTCCACCATGTATTCCTGCAGGGAATGGATCTGTACCATGAAAAAAGGAAATACTTTGGTCTGTCTCAGTACATCGAATCCACGCTGTCAGGGCACAGTCTTCCTCTACTACGCCATGACAGCTCCTTTGAAGGCATTGTGATGGCATTAGGAAAAAGGTCAGCTGCTTTCCTCTGAAGTTAAAGCCTAGATTTTTGTCACAATAACAGACATATGCTGTATTTTCACACTGACCTATACAGAAATTACAAAAATGAAATCATATGTTTGTAGCTTATCCTTGTTATGTGTCTTGTATTTTTTTTTTCTTTTAACTATTTATAATATTCGCACTGGTGCTACTTGAGGAACAAATAAGCCTGCCCCGAGCATTCAGCTGCATAGGGGCCTGCTTGGAGTGGTCTGACATGCTCCATATTGATTCAGAGCTAAAGTTGTGCATTCAGCAATGCTCAAGCTCCCTGCTGTGTGCAAAGCCATAGCTGGTGCAGGTGGCACATCGAGCCGCTACGCTCACACAGAGAGCAGGGGCCCTCTCTACAGTGCAATGCCTCAGGGACAGATTGATTGGTTTCTAATGCAGCACTAGTGACCCTAAAATAAAGCACCAGTGCTTAGAAATTGACTGGAAAGAAGTATGCTCGTTAGGAATCTCAGCTCCAATACTTGTATGCTCCATCGATGTAGTAAACAATAAAGCAAAGGACTTAGTGTCAAAGTAAGTTCCATTGTTTCACTTGGACAGGTTCCCTTTAAGCTCTTCCAAATACAATGTATATCATCCCCTTGCTGCAGCTTTTCCTCACTGGTAGCTTTCACCGATGGGAACAGCGGGAGCTGCCAGAGGAGGAGTTTGTTGGACGAACTCCACAGTGCTGGATCTTAACAGTCTTTGTCGATTTGTATATTTTAACCTTCTTAGCGGTAATCCCGAGTGTGGCTCGGGGTTAATTTAACACTCGAGATTACTCTATAGTGCTTCTCCTGCAATCCCCCAATCCTTACCTTGTCCTAGGATCCCGCGATGTCCTCTTGCTGTGTCCCCGGCATGTTCTCCGGCCGATGCCAGCATCTGTCTCTCAGGTTCCATTCCCTGCGAGTGCGGGACATAGGGGGGCGGAACCGGAGGGAGATTCAAAAAAGTTAATATATGGCATACACACAATACATTGTAATCTCTTAGTATTACATTACTGTATCAAACCCTTTCACATACATTTTGTCTCTAGTGCTTTGTCCTGTGCCCTGCCTGCACTTTTACCATTCCTTCTGCCTGGAAACTTGAGAATGTCCATGGCATCCAAAAAGCGTCCCTTAAGGTCAAAAGCGGTTTTAGACCAGCTAGAGAACAGCGATAGTAAATTAGAACCACTTGCAGAATTGAGTGATAATGATTCGTGGGGAAATTCGTCATCAGACACTGAAAACAATTCTGCGACTGAGCTCAGCGATGTGCAAACTTGGTGCTCTATTTCAAATTTCAGTGTTTTTGGTTTGATTACATTATTGAATGAAATGTAATATCATTATATTATTATTTTTTATAATTATTTATTAAATTATAATTTATGATTTCCTGTTTCAAACTTTTTCATACCCGGGATGTTTACTAGACTCTTGTTCGGACAGATTTAGAGTTATTCCTAAGAATTACAGACCTACAATATAAAACAACAAATTTCCATGCAAAACAATGTACCACTTTGACATGCAAAAATATTGATTAGTTAGACCGCCAGGGAGGTTAAAGACCAAGTTCACCATTTTTTTTTAAAATTCAGCTTCCTTATGTACCAATATATCATTAATGTACTTCTGTTGCAGAAAAAAAAGCTTTGTATGTATTTTAGGACAAGACCTTACCTCAGCCTCCAACTTGTTCCATAGAAAAGTTTGACTTCTTCGTATGTAGATGTAGGACATGAAAACGCTTAAGACACAGGAAGTAATTCACCAGTTAACACCATTAGGACACACCCTGCACCTGCCCTCCTCTTCCAGGAGATTGCTCCCAGCCATCTTTGTACTGACATACAGGCAGTAGTGTTAAAACAATACTCCCTGGAAGTCTGTAAAGCTCAGCATACACTATATAATTTGATTGTATAATTCCCTTTTGATCTATCATCAACTGTATAGTGCAAGGACCTGCCTGATTGGATACAGAGTGATTGGATAGATAGGTGTGTCCTCCTATTATATAGTTTGGGTAAATCTAAAGGTGATTTTACAGTCAGATTGTATAGTGTATGGCAACCTTTACACACCTAAAATGAACTTGTTGCTCTTTCAGTGGCATTAATTGTTAAAGTAGAACTATAGGCAATTTTTTTTTTTTTTCATTTTGGATACAGCAAGGGAGGGTTATAACCCGTCAGATTTTTTTTGCGTCCCATTGTGGAGATTTCCCTCAACTTTCTATCCCTAACCAGACAGGAAGTGAAAGGCAATCCCTGCAAATAAGGGAATTTCTTGTGGACCTTTAGGCCAACAGAACTAGTGTCCCCATTGGAAGATTTCCCCTGTATTACTTTTCTGGGGACAACCCAAAATTTGGGATTTCTCTTTCTTTTAATTTTTGATGATAATGGTAAACAGAACAAATGGGCCGCTCTATGTGTTTTGTGGAAAAAACAAGCCAAAAATGTGTGCTCCAATTACACTAGGTGTGAATGGGGCCTGAAAGTGAAATTGGTGTGTTTACACAAGAACAGTGAGGAACCATTCACATCTGCCCCTTTCTGAACAGAAAATGCGTGCTTTGCCATGCATTTCAGAAATGCATTGCAAATGCACATGGCACTTGTGTTGCCAGTAAATGTTAATGGTATCCCAAGCGTGGACAGTGGGCGCACGTTTGCCGCACACTTTGTCACACGTACAGTGACGTAAATTCCTGCTATGCAGAGTTGTGAAAGGGGCCAGACAGCTGAGTGTCTCTGTCCACTCCCTCCTATATGTACTTGTATAAGGCTGGTCATACACTATACAATCTTGGTACAATTTCATTTAGATTTAACAAAACTATATAATAAGTGTACACACCTATCTATCCAATAAGGCAGATCCTGATAGTTGATGGTAGATCTAAAGGAGATTGTGCAATCAGAATATATAGTGTATGGGGAGCTTTACTCATGTTCTGGGACACTCACTACTACTACCTGCATGTCAATACAGAAGTGGATGGAAGCAATCTCCTGGATGAGGAGGGCAGGTGCAGGGTGTGCGATAATGAGTCAGCTGGTGAATTGCTTCCTGTGTCTTAACAATTTTCATGTCCTAAATCTACATACCAGGAAGTCATAAACGTTTCTGTGGAACAAGCTGGGGGCTGAGGTAAAGCCTTGTCCTAAAATGCACAGAAAGCTGTATTTTCCGCAACAAAAGCACACTAATGGTATATTGGTACATAGGAAAGCTGGAATTTATAAAAAAAAAGGGTAATTTAGCCTTTAACATGCAGGTTTAGATACAGACTACTCTGCACCAATAATTGTGATTGAAATTCTTCTTTAATTGCCCATATGGAAGAAATAAATCTGAAGAATATATTTTAAAAAATATATATTTTTAAAAATATATTTTTTTTTTAAATGTATTCTACTGATTTTTTTAACATATACTAAAATCATTTTAACATATATTTTTACATATATTTGTAAATGCATTCCAAAAATGTAGATTTATATTTTTAAAGACATACAGTATATTTTAAATGTATTTTTAAAATTATTTTTCACATATTTTGTAATAAAAACGCATTTGAACATGCAGTATATAAATATAGTATATATATATATATATATATATATATATATTGACCATATTCAAAATATATATATATATATATATATATATATATATATTGAATATGGTCAAAATTTTAGCATTTCAAATATATGTTAATACATATATGGGAAGAATATTTTTAAAATATATTTCAAATATATTTTTCTTCCATGTTGGTGGTGTCATCATCTTTCCCTTAACTCAGGGGTTTGTGGTTGATTTCATTATCTAATGCAGAAATCATTTATGGTAGGTTTCCCAAGCTCCACAGTGCCGTGATACGGACATTTCTTCTCATCCAGCATTACTCGTCGGCGATGATGGCTGTGTGCGGTTTCTCTCAGATGAAGAATTACACTTCGGTGGAAACCCTGGAGATTGTCCAGAACCTCCTGAATTCTCCCAAACAGTGCGCCAGCAGACATGGGCTGATGGTTCTCTTACGGATTCCCTGCATTCCACTGGCCAGCTTGGCTTATGAACGTCTTTGCCATGTTAGAGAACGACTCGGTCTACAAAATGGATTTGAGGTTATTCTGGGAAAAGCCAATTCATCATTCACTATTGGAAAGCACTTTGTGGACCAGCTTAAGGTATCTATCTTATCCATATCTAGTGATGAATGAAGCTATCATAAGCCCTGGGCCAAAGTTCTCCCTTTGAAATACAATTCTTGTGCCTGGTCATTAGACAAAAGAGTCTCCATCTTTGGGGTGCATGGACAGTTTTCTTTTTGTCATAAAAGCAGGAAGACTGAAAGAAAATGCAGATGCATTTATTTTAATCATAATCTGCTTTTCAAATATATTTATTCACTTTCGCAAACAAATCTTGCAGGTTCATTTAGTCTTTTCTTTTTAGTTTATTTCAGTGGTTCTAAAAAAGGAGTAGAAACTGATTTTTAACTGAAAAGAAAACAGATATTAAAGAAAATGTGATGTGAGAATATGGGCACTTGAATTTAAAAAAAAAATAAACATAACACAAAAGAAAATCAATAAAATGACAATATGGGTAGTTAAACTGCAAATTAAATATGTATTGTGGATGCAGTGAATCACCGTAGTAGTCGCCACTGCTAAAGTGATCGGCACTGTCTTCCAGGTCCCTCACAGAATGCCTTGCATCCTTCTTAATGAATGCAAGGTGTTCTCTGATTGAACCAGGTGGTGAGGCAGGGCGGTGATGGAACAATCTCCACCTCATCCAATCAGGGAATTTGGGATCTAGAAAACAACAACAATCACAATGATTCTCTGCTTCCACAGCAGTCCCAAAGGCATGTTATCTAACATTTATAGGTAAAGTTGATCCAGGGAAGGAATTTTTTTCCCAGCAGGAACAAATTGGATAATGCTTTGCTGGGTTTTATTGCCTTCCTCTGGATCAACTGTGGGTATAGGATTATAACTTTTTTTATGGTTGAACTGGATAGACTTTTGTCTTTTTTTTCAGCCAGACTAACTATGTAACTATGTATTATTGCATATACGTAATTACATTGGTGCGAGCTGGACCAATGTAGCTATGCAATATAGTGTACCTATGCAATAAAATCCATTCCTGGAATTCAGCATTAACAGCATTACCAGTTCTAGGTGGATTCTCATCTGGATAGGCAAACAAAATTTGGAGTGAATAAATTGTGAGATATATTCAAGGACACATTTGGAATACAGGGTATATTTTGGGCAAGACACTATAAAAAGCACATGGGGTGCTGGATAAAGTTCAGGGGAGGCTGCTAAATAAATAAAAGGGGTGAAAATCTCACTTTTAGTAAAAGGTTATGGAAATTGAGTATCTTCAGTTTTAGAAAGACTCATCTGTTATTTCCAAGATTAGAATAAAATTTGCGCACAAGCTAAAATCACTTGCAGAAGTAAATATTACTGTCTTTTGAAGTGTTACTAAACCCATGACCCTGCATTCACTAAATCTGGTCTCCCACAGTATACAGAATATGGAAACACAATTATTTTAGTAAATATAAACTGCTAAATACATTTTCTCATCAGCAGTTAGAACAGTCTTATGACTTCTATCAGTGTCCAGCAGAGCACTGATTAAAGCTTGTAGGAAGAGTTTTCATTCTCCCCTGACTGTCCTATGAAGCTCCATTACCCCTGACCCTCTGCCTGGACAGTGCTGATTGGCCCTGTGCTGATCATATGCACTCTCCCAAGAAAAAAAAAACTGAACATGTGCATCTTGAACCAAAGGCTTTGTTCTATCAGCAGATGGATTGGGGACTGTGGATTAAGAGGAGGATCAGAAAAGACAAGCTCAAACATCCTTTTCACACAATGCAGATGATTATCCCCTTAACCACTGTGAATATACCAAGCATGCTTTACTGCATATACAGACTGTTGTGGGTTTAGTAACACTGTAAGGTAATGGTTCTAATCAGAAAGAGTGGTTGAACTGCAGAATGCTTTACTGCAAGTAGCAAAGACAAAAATCAACAATGGGGTTTAAAAAAGGCTGGATGATTTTTGTGCAATTAACAATATCCACAGATTTCACAGATAAAGCCTTTCTAGTGGGAGATAAGAGCAGTCTTACGCCTAGGAGCAGTCTTAAGCCTAGTACACACTACTATTTTTGTTTTCATTCAGCCTATTGGAGGAGGAGGAGCCACTATACTAACTATCCGATGTTGTGTCCTGACAGGGGGGACGGCCCCCCCGTCAGAACATTCTGGTCAGCGCTCTCAGCCATTGGCTCGAGAACCGATTGGCAGACCTTTTTTTGGTTATTCTCCTTCGACAGAAGCTGGCCTGCTTCTGTCGGACCGGCTGCTGTACGAGCCGAATGTCAGCTGGTTTCTATTGAACCGGCCGATGCCGCCCGACATTTGGCCCGTGAGTACTACTGGCTTTACCCAATAGATTCATACTCTGAAGCTCTACATGCTAGGAATGTATCTAGGTAAAAGGTAAAAGACATAACACGTAACATAGATGTAAACCCTGACTGGATGACTTTTAGTTGCTAAAGAACATTGCATCATTAACAATTGTAATTTTTTTCATTAGCCACTTGTCAATACATTTTGTGGGTTTCCTGATGGGGAGAGAGTGGCGGAACATACATGTGCGTGCATCAGTATGGCCATAGCCTTCAATAGAAGCATATGTCACAAGCTGCTAACACAAGAAAGCTAACAGGAGACAGGGACACACCTTACAACAGGAAGTGCCTGAACAAGGAATTTCATGGTAGGATCACCAGGTATTGCAAGGTGTGACAATTTAACTCCCAGAAAGGACTGCAATAAAAATATCAAACACCTTTGCATTCTTCAAAAGATCAGATGAAATTTGAAGACAGTGTTCTTTCTGATGTTCTGCCAAGATTTGAGGCACCATCCCAAATCCTCTTTAGAACCTACTGCACTGTTTCCCTGTTCATTTTCAATTCTTCTGCCATCATTCAAACACTCAACCTTCGATCTGAACATATGAGGGTTTGCACTCTGTCCGTATCCGTCCTTTGCATTTTTGGTTGCCCACTTCTTGCGTCATCGTGGACATCTTGCCCCTCCTTAAACGTCCTATGCCTTTCAAAAACAATTGACTTCTCCATGGAATGTTCACCATAAGCCTGTTGTAACAGAGATAAAGTTTTACTCTCACTTTTGCCAATTTTCATGCAAAATTGTATGTTAATCCACAGCTCCAGATTCCTGTAACTCATTTTCCGTCAACAGCGCAACACACATGTGTTCATTTTTCTACTGTTCCATAAAGACTGAGTCAACTGGTCTGCAATCCAAGAGAGTGCAAGTTAGAACATGTCAGAACACACTCAAATACGAATGGTTGTGTGACTCACCGCAGTAGTGCTATGCTGAGAGAATTCCAGGAATTAAATTGTCACACCTCGTATTTGAATGAAAGTTGGAGATTTAGAAAAATGTAAAATTACTTAAAAATTACTTCAACACTGTATGTGAGATTTTAGTGGTTGGGTTTACATCTACTGTAAAGTTAACAATTGTTATAGATATATGGGAGCTGTTTTATTTGCCCAAAGATTGGTATTTCTGTCTCTCTAGACCTGAGATTAAGGGCTCAATATACACGAAAGCAGAACCATGTACAGCGTGAAGCGCCATTTGTTTATCCTTTTGTACTAGGATGCAGCTGGTGTGGGCAGCTTGTATAAGTGAATGGATGCACTTTCGCTGTATGGACTCACTTGCACAGCAAAGTTTGACAGGTTCACAGGGACAGTTGCACAGCCCCAAATGCACAGGCTGTGCTATAAAATACAGTAGATCACCTACCTACTTGAGCCTCTGATTGGACAGTAAGAGAGCAGCAGCAATTCACTTCTATGTTCACAAAGCACACCTCTTCCTTTCAGCATGCTTTTTGTTAGCACATGTGTACATTTTTTATTTCTAAGTCTCTTTTTATAATTTGACAGATCTGGCAGAAAATCGACGATGAAGACTGGCAGCCTCAGACTTATCTAGAACTAGAGGGTCTGCCTTGCATTCTGATATGCAGTGGTATGGAACCTCTTGGAGAATCTCTGCCAAGGTATGAATGCCCCAGTTTTGGTCGAACTCATTCTAGAACTGCAAAAGAGTTGATTGCAGCTAAAACTGAACTAATGCCTGGGATAGGATTAGGGCAAGTTACAGATGGTGCTATAATGCTTTTATGTATCATTTTATATTCAATGTTTTGTCCAGATCATTGAGGTACTGTGACCTCCGTCTAGTCCAGTTCAGTACATGGGAAAGAACAAGAGTGGAACAAGAGCTGGGATTTGCTTCATGTTTTATAGACACTGTGATATCTCAGGACCAAGGGCTTGGAAAGGAAATGATGATGGACAGTGACCCAGACAAGCTAAGCAGCACAGACAATGAGGATGAAGAAATGATGACTGATGGTAAGCTATTCTCTAGCTGTAGTGGATCTAGCACCATAGCAGCATGTGTAGCTGGTACAGATACTTTGTGAAAAAAAGCTTGGTGCAGTGCCCACCCCTCCTAACTTGTCACAAGTCTTCAAGTCTTGTCACAAGTCTTCATTTACGGACCCTGTGCATGTTTCACGCAGCACCATTAGCACATTCATTACAGCCCAACTAAACATTCAGTTTAAGTCTGCTAAATACATTCCAGGTGCAAGAAAGAAAAGGTGTGCAAAGCCTTACAGCTTGTTTTCTTCACCTTCTGTTACCTAAAAGAATGCTGCAGAGAAGGAAACAGTGGTCTCTCTGCAGCAGAGGTCCAGCACTCCTCTCCTGAGTCAGAGCTAGAGCTCTCCAATCAGCAGGGAGTATGTTGGACCTCTGCAAAGAGACTGGTGATTGGACAGTGATGTAGCAGCAGCACACTGACAACGTCATCCCTCTGCTCTCTCCTACCAGCTTGTTCCTTTGCACAACATGTTCATATAGCATACAGCATCGGTTTCTAGTGCTGCCTTTCCATCTTGCAGCCTGATTTCTTCGATTCAGGGGATATCAGGAAGTTATATTCAGATACTTACTCTGGTTATAATTAAAAATAGATTTAATTATTTTTTATGACTACAAAACTGTAAAACCTTTTGAAGGCATAAAGGAAATCTTGAATGGTGGGTTGCACCAAGGAGATACAATTGTACATTGTTTTCCCCTACCAAGAGGAGTATCCCTTGTTAACAAAGCTGCAGCAGAAAAAAAAAATTAATATCACTCTTAATAGATTTAAAACCTCTTATCATGAAAAGTGACAGAACATGGCATAGTAGCATTCATTAACAACCAGTCACTTTGTTCCATGTTCATGCCACTTCTAAGACACACACATACTACTTTGCCCGCAAGATCCATGGAACATCACAGGCTCAATTAAATTGGCAATTTAATTTGTCCCAATTTCCTAATGACATTGCCGATTCTATATTCCATTTTCTACGTAAATGACATCAATTATGAGTTTTAAAATGAATTCTGCCAAATGTTGTGTTAGGATACTTTGCGTAATTGGCGATTATTAAAAGATGACATCTAAAAAGCACTAGATATGTAATTGCTCACTGCTCTGCAGGTCAAGGGGATAATGACTTTGTATATGGCTCCAGCAAAATTAATGGGTTTTTTGTTTTTTTCCACTGAACTAGGGTCTAATTCAGAGAAGCAGAGCCCTGGTAAAAGGCAGAGATCTCAGTCAAATGACTCTTCCTCTTCATCTGTGTGTTCTAAAGCTTCTGGTAAGATTCTGGCTACTTTCAACATTGGGATTAATTCTTAAAAACTGAAATTAGCATATGTGGAGTTTTTTAATTGTATAGAAACAAATATGAATTCTAATTGGTTGCTATGGTCAGCCACTCTGATAATTGTCTTTCCTCTATTTTTTTTAAATCAGCCTAAAGAGGAACTACACTGCACCTGAGCACCACAAAAACCAAAAAGGCTATTTATTTCAAATGTAATATTCAAAGCAAACTCACCCATCCATGTCTCTGTGCATTATTTAGCTGAGAAATCAGTTTCAAAAACACCCCCTAGCAGTTCTGGCCATAGCCATCTTGAGTAAGGGCAGATGATTCATGCAGCATTTACTTCTGGAATCCATCTGCCCTTAGCTCAGGTATGCAGGCAGGAGGGTGTGCTTAGCTGAGAAAACCCCTCCTACCCTTCTAAAGACTCCTAGGATGTATGACATCATTTGCCTAGACTTGGAAAACAGGAAGTAACTGAAGAAAGAAAAAAAGTGTAAAACAAGTAAATATGATATAATTTCCTATTGATTTACTACTGCTAACAGCATAAGGATTAAAATAGCTAATTTTGACTGTGGAGACTGAAGTTCTGATTTAAATTGAAGGATAATTCCAGGCATCAGCATGTTATTCATAGTTACATTGATCCAGCTTGGATAGAGTGAAGAATGAGTAGATCTCTAGTTTCTATATACGGTATGTCTGTGTCTTTGTTAGCAAAATCTTTCTGCACTTCCTAACGTGCCATTTGGACAAGAAATGAAGAAACTTTTATTAGTAGAATAGAGAAGGGCTAGAGCCAAAATCAGGTGTCCCCTTACCTTCTCTTTGGTGGCCTCACAGAAACAAGGAAAAGTCTTCCCAATGTGGGCAAAGACAGCAAGATAGACACCTGCCAGAAGTTGTAACAGTTGTGCACTCTATCCATATCTAAACCATTTTTCACTTTATATTGTATATTTTTTAGGTTCCATTGCAGATAGTGAGTCCTCATATTCCCCTTTGGCAGAAGACAATGTAAAGCTGACTCAGCATTCAGGGGTTTCTAATAGTGAAGACTGCAAAGCTGCATCAGAGAAATTAAAATTGTCAGCTGATAAGAATGCCAAAGTTGTCATATGTGAACAGATGGACAGCAACAGCTCTGCCAAGTCCATGAAGAATCCAAGCTCCATATCCACCACTTCTTCATCGTCATCATCTTGCTTTACCAGTGACAATGGACTTCAAATCTACCAATGTTCTATGGCCAAGGCTTACAAACAGCCACCAGTGGTGTTCCTCTCCAAGCTAGTGTATGACATCATCACCTCCACTGACAGCAGTGGTCTTTCTAAGTCTTCATCTTTCTTGCCGCACTGTGATGTGGCATGGGCCAGCTCATTCCGCCCACTTCTGAGTAAAATGATGACTTGTACAGAACAATCTTTGTACTACCGCCAGTGGACAGTGCCAAAACCAAGCCACATGGACTATAGTAATGTAAATGAAGGTAGAATGGACACATTCCATCCAAGAAGACTGTTGCTTAGTGGACCACCTCAGGTACCTAGTCTGTTTCCTAAAAAATGTACTGTATACAAGGAAATTTAATATTCTGCTTAAAGAGGTTGCCACCCATACATGATATTTCATTCATATGTTTTTTTCCAGGAAACCGTCCAGCGCCTACCAATAGCTAAAATATCAATCTTTGGTGGTCTAAGTCCAATGAGTGCATAGATGTGGTTACATCACAACTAAAAAAACAGGTTTCGGGAGAATAACTCTTTAATAAGCAGTGCAGAGATGCAGTCAAATCACATCTAAAATATCAGTCTTGGGTGGACTGAACCTTTAACATTTCAGTTTTATGAGACACTTAATGACAGACTCTTCCCATACAATTTTTTTTTTACTTTTTTGCTAACCATGGTCACAGATGTTAGCACACATTAATAGTAACACTTTGTTTCCTCCTGTACGTATGTACAGTAATTGGGAATAGAAACATAGCTGAAAAAAATTGAGAGATAAGAAAGATCTCATATTTTACTTTGTCTTCTGGTTTCATACAAACTTCTCCTCAAACACCAAAGAGCCTAGGTTGTTAGGTTTGTCAATTTGCACTCATTTTTGATGATTTAGTTGGCTTCCTCATTGACCAATTGGGTGGGTCAGGATATGGACGGGGTGGAGCTGAGTTAATCTCTTACTGGGAACTGTAATCCAATCCAAGGACACCACTAAAAGGCTCCTAACTTCTTCTCACTGTCTTTGGGCATGATTTACTAAAATTGAAGAGTGCAAAATCTGGTGCAGCTCTGCATAGTATCCAATCAGCTTCTAACTTCAGCTTGTTCAATTAAGCTTTGACAAAAAAAACTGGAAGCTGATTGGTTTCTGTGCAGGGCTGCACCAGATTTTTCACTCTCCTGTTTTAATACATCAAACCCTTTGGGTGCAAACCCAAGAACTTACTCTCGTAGGCCACCATGTGAGAAAACAGGAATGCAGCACTACCGGGTGAATCAGGTGTCCAGTTAAATCTACCCCTCAATGCAGAACAGGATAATGAATAAAATTCTTGGAATGCCTGGTTCACGTAGTAGTAGTTTACTGTCTTTAAGATTGGTGGTCAGGAAATGTGAAAATTTGCCTACAATATAAGCTGCCTACAGTGTATTTCTGACTTTACTGGTTGTATTGTCATGCGTTTCTCACAGAAGGTCATCTTTTATTTTGTATTATAGGCTCAGTTTGAAATGACTAAGTTCATAAAAGGTTTACCTTCATGTATTATGTGTAAAACAAAGGGAAAGGAGATTACATTATATATGCAGTTTGTCTAGTAAAGAATTGGCTTGGATAGATAGATTCTGTCTTTGTTTTTTTACAGTTAGGTTTCCATATCTTGTAAGGATTGTGTTAGGCCTTTTTTTCTATATACATTACCTCATGTCCTTTCTACTGTCAAGCACCCCATCCTTATTACATGTATTTTACTATAGCAGAGTTCCTATTTTACTTTTTGGGAAAGATCGGCATCACTGACAATGATATTTTGAGATGCCAAAACAACTGTTTCTCACGGAGGTGTTTTCTGAAAGCTGTGGGCCTGTATGCATGTATAGATCATAAGTTGGGCTCTCCTGCCTGAGAAAAAGAAAGTATGGCAAAGAAAAAATTGCCGTTGTTTTCATTGCACTGAATATTGCCCATAGCCTAAAGAGAGTGCAGGGATTCAGCAGTAAGTGAGGCAGAGCTCAGGAGTCAGGAATAAATGATATATAGTTTGGGGTCAGTAGTAAGTGACACAGAGTTAGAGGTCAAGAGTAAGTGGTGTAGGGTTCAGGAGTCAGTGGTAAGTGACGCAGAGTCCAAGGGTCAGTAGTAAGTGAGGCAGAGTTCAGAATATGTGATGTAGAGTTCAGAGGCCAGTAGTAAGTGGCACAGAGAGTTAAGGTTCAAGAGTAAGTGACACAGAGTTAAGGTTCAAGAGTAAGTGACACAGAGTTAAGGTTCAAGAGTAAGTGACACAGAGTTAGGGTCAAGAGTAAGTGACACAGAGTTAAGGTTCAAGAGTAAGTGACACAGAGTTAAGGTTCAAGAGTAAGTGACACAGAGTTAAGGTTCAAGAGTAAGTGACACAGAGTTAGGGTCAAGAGTAAGTGACACAGAGTTAAGGTTCAAGAGTAAGTGACACAGAGTTAAGGTTCAAGAGTAAGTGACACAGAGTTAGGGTCAAGAGTAAGTGACACAGAGTTAGGGTCAAGAGTAAGTGACACAGCGTTAGGATGAAGAGTAAGTGACACAGAGTTAGGGGTCAAGAGTAAGTGACACGGAGAGTTAAGATTCAAGAATAAGTGACACAGAGTTAAGGTTCAAGAGTAAGTGACACAGAGTTAAGGTTCAAGAGTAAGTGACACAGAGTTAGGGGTCAAGAGTAAGTGACACAGAGTTAGGGGTCAAGAGTAAGTGACACAGGGTTCAGGGGCCAGTAGTGACTGACAACCCACCCCCAAACATTTAGAGCTCAGAAAGATCAGACTGACAATCAACTGCAACCTCCTTATTTCCATCACACACTACATATCCCAGCAAGCATAGCACCTTGGCACAATGGTGCATGAGTTAAATGAGGGTGTGGCATTTTGGATGGACAACCCTTCTGTCCTGCCTCTAAAGTTTCCATTGCAGACTCTGCAAAGATAACGCTTCATGCAAACTAGGTTGAAAGGCTTACCAGTCACAATGTTCACTTGTAGGGGAACAAAGCACCCCTGGGTGACAACCATGTTTCTCTTAAAGGCCTGGTATCATCAGGGGAAAAGAGCCAGGGATGGACCTTGATTTGATCTGAGGTTTTGAGTAGAGAAGATTAATTTAAAGGTAAATGAAGAAACAGGAATATTGCTATGTAACCAACAATTTTAAAAAAACAGCCTTATAGTTTAGCCTTCCAGCAATGCCATGGCAACATTGGACTGGCTGGACTAGAGCAGTCCTTTAATGCAACTCAACCAAAATACACTAACATTGGCCATACACTAGTAAATTTTTGAATGCATGTTCATACTAACATTTGTAAGAAAATTTGCCCACAAATTCTCAGTATATTAAATGACTTGACAAAAGTACTTCAAAATTTTGTTAGCTTTTAACCTGTCTATAGGATGTATCCAAACATCCTTGAATAGGAAGGGTGATATCTCGATGATATAATTTTTTATAGTCGGCAATTCTGTATCTTGTAAAAGTAATCCAAGCAGCTAAAGAGCCGCTGGGTTACTTTAATAGGTGTGATGCTTTGAAGGCCAAAGGAGAGCTGTGGGGTATAATAGACGCAGATCTCTCCAAAAAGAGGACCTGTCATTGCCTATGCTATTCCAAGGGATGTTTACATTCCTTGTGATAGCAATGAAAGCGATTAAAAATATAAAGTTACAGCGTAAAAATTAAATAAATAAATAATCAAATTAAAAAACAACATTTTAAAGCATCCATCCCACCGTGCTCACACTCGTCGCTCCTGCGTGCATATGTAAATGGTGATCACACCACACATGTGACATATCGCTGCATCAGAGTGAGAGCAATAATTCTAGCACCAGACCTCCTGTGTAACTCTAAACTGATAACCTGTTAAGGCTTTTAAAATGTTGTTTAGTGAGATTTTTAGTTACAGTAGTTTGTCGCCGTTCCATAGGCATACCCAATTTTAAAGCATGACTTGTTTGGTATCTATATACATCATCTTTTATCATTTACAAAAAAATGGGTTTTATATAATGTTTTTGTGCATTGCAGTTCATTAAAATTTATTTTTCCAAAAGCTTTGGGTTTGAAAACCGCTGCGCAAATACCATGTGACAAAAAAAATATGCAACACCCGCCATTTTATTCTCTAGGGCCTGCTTAAAAAAATTTTGGGTGTTCTAAGTAGTTTCCTAGCAAAAAAAAAAAAATTTTTTTTACATGTAGGAGAGAAATGTCAAAATTGGCTTGGACTGAAACTGGTTAACGTTCAAATTTGAAATGAATGGACCTTCCCATACAAAAACTATACACTGTTAGAAATTTGTTCAAGAAAGGTTTTCTATTCTGCTTCTTAGAATTTTCTCATCAGTGCATTCAAAAATGAACATCGATTTGACCCCAATAAAGAGTAGGAAAACCAACAAAATGTTCTTGCAATGAAAATTTTTTTAATGAAATTCTAATGTGTGGCTAGTTTGAGAGTTTTATAACTAGAAGAACTGAATGCTACATTCACTTGTCTTTCCCTCCATCTTCACATTTTGTTTACTAGTAAGTTAAAGGTGTTCTTTACCTCTAATCCTCAACACAATATTTTATACTGCTGAAATATCAGTCATAGTCTCACAGGTACGAGAAAGATTAAATGGATCCCAGACATTAAATTGTTTTGGTTTGGTAGGCAGAGCGGAAATTGGAGAAATCCCATGCGTCAAAGAGGTCTTTGCAAACACCAATGAATTGTCTGTTTCCAGCTGAGTGTCTAATGAACTTTGCAAATGCGTTTAATTAGCATAGACCATATGGTTCACAAATCCCTAATGAAACACTGCAAGCTGATAAATATTATCATTCTTTTTTTAATGTTGGATTATTTGTGCGCTTTTATTTATTTTAGCTCCTCAGAGGATTCAGTAAGATGCCAGATTAACACATTATTGGTGCCTTATAGGTGGGGAAGACGGGAGCCTATCTGCAGTTTCTCAGCGTCCTGTCCAGAATGCTGATACGACTGACTGAGGTGGATGTGTATGATGAGGAAGAGATAAACATCAGTGAGTTTTTTTTCTTTAATGACATATTAGGGATTAGTTTAGTTAATTACAGAAGCTTACAAGGTGGTAAGCGCTTCCAAGGTTTAATAGAGCACAGTACCAGCAAACACGTAGGAAGCCCACGCAGGTGCATGGCCCCAAAGGAGAAGACATACTATTTATAGGACTTCTGAGCTAAATTGATGTCTAGGAAGAATGCTGGAAAAAAAGGTTTACATGGAAGAGCTGGTACAGAAAAGCAGAGGTGTTTCTTATTACCAGTGGAGTGAATTTAAAACCTATATATTTTAATTTAGATTCTTTCTTAAATCCTGCATTGCCAAATATCAGGGAGCACAATTTAATTGAAAGATTGTGTCTATGTTTGTATTGTGCCTCTCAGATGGGCCTATTTAGGGATGACAGACCCCTTGTTTTTTATAATTTGTCCCATAATAGGCAGTTTGGAACAACAACTTGGCTGAACTAAACCAACAGTATAAGTATCTTTTACATTTAAAAATGTCGGTCAAATTTATGTGTACAAGCAAGCATTTAAAAGTGTCTTTTATATTGTTATTATTGCCACTATCACCATGGGACGCTGTGGTTTTAGCAAAAGAGTAGTTGATGCTTGGAACTTACATCAGAAGTAGTGAATACATCCAAAGTAAACACATAAACATAGATCTATATGCAAAAAAGTAAAAAAGAAAAAAGTAAAAAAAAAAAGGGTCAGACTTGATGGATGTCTTAGTCTTTTTCTGCCATAACTCTGTGTTTTATACACATTAGGATGTATTAAAAAAAAAATGCAAAGCTATTCATCCTATAAAACTGCATGTACATTCATTCTATGTGAATGGGGGCGATATCAAAAGTTACTAGGCTTATGTTGTTCAACTGTACATAATAGAATTAATCAGGAAAATAATTGGCCACTAAATGATGGTCAAAAGGAAATACTTTTTTTTACTATGAATGTCTGTTCCATCTGTTGCCCATAATGCAGCATTTTCCCAAACCACTTTATTTTTAATGAATGAGTAGCATTTGATGGAGAAGGATCTGGGTGTTCTGGTACATCACAAGTTTAATAATGGCATGCAATGGCAAGCTGCTTTCTAAAGCGAGCAAAATCCTCTGTTGTATTAAAAGAGGTATAGACTCCAGAGAGAGAGATATCATATTACTCCTGTACAAATCATTAGTTTAATTAATCACCAATTCACAAAAAGAATATTGGGGAACTGGAGAAAGTTCAGAGAAGGGCTACCAAACTGATAAGAGGCATGGAGGAGATCAGCTATGAGGAAAGTTTAGAGGAACTGAATTTATTTTCTCTTGAGAAGAGGAGATTAAGGGGGATATGATCAACATGTATAAATACATCAGTGGTTCATATAGTGAACTCTGTGTAGAGTTATTCATCCTGAGGACATCTCAGAGGACAAGGGGACACTCTTTACATCTGGAGGAAAAGAAATTTAATCTCCAAACACGGAAAGATTTCTTCACAGTGAGAGCTGTGAAAATGTGGAATAGACTCCCTCAAGAATTGGTTCTGGCCAGCTTAGTGGATTGCTTAAATAAAGGCCAGGATTGTTTCTTGGATACACAGAATATAACTGGAAACTAACATGTATAGGTAAAGTTGATCCAGGGAATATCCGATTGCCTCTCAGGGGAACAGGAAGGAATTTTTTTACCTGCAAAAAAATGTGCATTTATTATTTTTTTACTAAAAGGTGAACTTATCCTTTAAAAAAAGAATTACACCCACTTACAAATACTGCTGTGTACACAGTCCTGTCTGGCAGATATGTAAGATTGCCATTCTGGGTATGAAGACAGATCATCTGGGTATGGAGAGGTATGTTTTGAGTATGGGCAGATCATTCTTGGGGCTTAAATAAATAATTTTAGACATTATCGTTGCACCTGTTCCTTTTCATTGTGTATTTTGGTCTGATTTTCCAGGCATCAGAGAAAAGCCTGAACAGAATTTCCACCAGATCTTAGACATGTGGCCCAGTGAGGACTTTGTGAAGAAGATGGACTTTGACTACATGCTGCATGATCCTAAGTATGAAGATGCAAGCATCATCTCTTCTAATTTTCTCAATCCCAGCACTGAAGGTGAAATCAGATAATGTTCATATTCCTGGGTTTATTGCATTAAAATATTCCACGATGCATTTGTGTATACACCTCATTGAAATCTTTGCAGTTCATGATCTACAGCAGCTTTAATCAGCCATGGTTCCTCCTGAGGTTGCTAGGGGTTAATTGAGCAGTGAGGAAATAGCAGCTTGTCCTGCATTATTGTGCCAACATCAGAGCCACTCAGCAAAACCAGCAGCATGAGATCAGTAGAGCTATCTCCTCTTGATTCTCATTTAAATAACCACTGACACCAATGAATATATTAGCTGTCTGTAAGAGTGGCATTCTTCCACTGACTACCAATGTAAGGAGCGGCTCTACAGAGTGTTCCCACATTTCCAACAAATGTTATACTATGAAGAAGGGCAGTATGATGTCCACTTGAAAGCTAAGCCGACCATAGATGTATTGAATCTCGGGCAGTTAAGCGGGGACTGGCTGAGATTCAATCTATCTTTGGGCAGGCTGGTTGTAGTGAATTTGATCCATTGATCAATTTCAGTACAATCGGCCTGTTGGAATTTTCGTATGTGAATACTTAATGCTGGCTATAGCCGCCAGCGTTAATTATTATGTTCTGCCAGCAGGGAAGGCTCCCCACTGGCAGAACACAATAGAGCTACAGGAAGGATTCCCCCATCAGCACTGTGTTTATGGGGAAATTGAGTGATTTTCTTTCCTGCAAGCCGTGGTTTCAAGAAAGAAAACTGCATCATGTATGGCTTGCTTCAGCCAGCTCACTCAGAGTTAAGATAAAATGATCAACACATCATTTAATAACAAATTAAAGGTTGTCATGTTACCCAGCAGGGGATACAGTACCTGGAAACTACTTGCGTGTTTTAACTACCTAGTTACCTATCACTAGGAAGCAACAGTAGACAACTGTGAAAGCAACTGAAACTTATATTTATCACGGCTCACGCTGAATATTTTAACGCTGTGTATGACCATAATGGAGCATGATAGGTATTAAATATTATTTTCAGTATATGATGTTACCATCTAGATTTAGTATATTTGAGTTTCAATGGTTCACTATTATTTAATTCCTTTTTCCAGTTGAAAAATTATTACATTATAAAAAGAAAATTCAGAGTTTCATAATGCTCTCTAATGATGGGAATATCTATGTCAAAGCCTGAAGATACCCATAGACAACTGGAGTTTGGAAATTTGCCTACAACAAAGTGCAGAGCAGCAATTCACAGCCCACACAATTCTGTTGAATATAAACATAGAAGTATATTCATTTCACATATATTTTATGGTATTATCTAGTGACTGAGACCTGTCTAATCTTTGTGACATACTTCACCAACGCATATACATTTATTAGTATAGGTTTACAGAAAATCTATGATATTAAACATCTTGGAGCTGGCGGCTGTAATAATGAATGGCTTCAGTGTATGACTATGGATAGCAACAGTGTGCAGATTATTTCAACAGTGAGAGAAATTTATTTATTAAATAGCTGTAGATTGCAACTGATGACCCCGTTGTACTTTCATTCTACCATTAATGGAGATATCTCGGCATGCCCACTAGCATTCATAAAACATTATGCTCTTCCCTCTATCCCTGCCTTTAGAAATTCTACTCTTATTCTCTATCTCCCTTATCTTTCATTGTTTCTCCCTCCCTCTTTTCTTTTCCTGTCGCCTTTCTTTCATATCTCCCTATCACATTCTGTTCTTGTTGTTTGGAAATCTTTTTTAATCTGCAGTTTTCATTAATACCTGGTTCTCCTGCCATGATAGTCCTTCATGTTATAGGGTGACAACTGTCTCCCAAATCCTTTCATGTGCTGTCACCTTGTCATATCTTCCCCTGGAGGGCACGCTGACATCCTAAGGGGACATGCTGACACGCATTGCACTTTCATGGTCCACCATTGTCACTATTAGGATTCTGGTCCGGGTGATGATACAGCTGGAGTGTATGTAGACTAAGAATGGCTGAAAGAGGCTGAAAAAGATCAGCAGCACTGCTATGTAATAAAGGATGAAAAAAAAAAGTAAAACAGTATTTTATGAAAAAAGTTCAAAGCTGCTATAGTGGGATTACTAGAGAGATGAGGAGAATGAGAGTGAGGAACAACACAGTAGCCTCTGTGCACAGGTACTGTTAGTTGTAATGACAAGAAGAATAGCAAAGGTCACTTTAGTACTGTCTGTAATACTTTTTTATTTGCACTAATATCCAAATTTTCAGGTGAAGCTTTCGGGATGTGCTTTCTTAAATGTTCAAACAGTACTAATAAACAAAGTTTTAGCAGATGTTAATAAGATAAAGAAAGAAAAAAACAAAAAAAAAGTACACAGCAAAGGTAATTAAACTTTGGATAGTTAATGAGACAAGGCAGGGAGAGGGCTATGGAATGGGTGGGGAAAAAAGTCCCAGATGTGATACTGGTCAACGAACCAATGGATAGTGATTTCAAAAACTTAGGTCCAAATTTAGTCCATTATCTTTGGTGTCAAATAGAATTGGCTTCCTTAGTTTAAAAGTTTTTCTTTCCTGAGTAGTTTTGAAATTCCCTTTAAGAACGAAAACATTCATGTCTTCCATAGTGTGGTCTGGTTGTAAATTTCCCACACAAGTACAGAGATCAACTTTCTTGTGTTTTAATGGCGTATCTGTGTAAATTCATCCTTGTTTGTAATTTCTGTCCTGTTCTACCAACATAAGATCTCTTGAAGCATTTTTTTGCATTGGATTAGGTACACAATGATACTGGAGGTGCAAGTGTATGATCCTGTAATACTGAAGGTCCCTTTTGTGTGTGTGTGACACTTTTTAGGCCCTGACCACATCTGGTGTTCTGGGATCTCAAGCATAATTGTTGCAATTCTGCTTGCAATCTCAAATTGCACTGCAGTAGTGGCAAAGCGCACCACGCATTCTTGGGTGCCATACATTTTCAATGGCATCTAAACATGGTTTGGTTTAAATTGCTCTGCAATCAAGGCACACCACATCGCACGAAGCTCCTGTTGCTTTTTGGGCATCAAGCTTCATGCGATGTGGTTTGCCTTGATTCCAGCATGATTTATTGTATGCTACATTTAGGTACCATTGGAAATAATGGAACTTGAACATGCATGCTGTGTTTTGCCACTATTGCAGTGCAATTTGAGATTGCAGGTGGAATTGCAGCAATTCTTCCTGAGATGCCAGAACGCCAGATGTGAACGGGGCTATATTTAATTAATTTGGCTGTACTGTTTGCAGCATTTTTTGTTGCAAGGATTGTGACTTTATTTCTGACTTAATGATCAGAATGAAGTTTCCTGCTGATTAATTTATGTCTGAGGTTGGGTGGTCGCCTGAAAGCCAGCAATGGGGGGGGGGGGGGGGGGGTTGTTGGATAATTTCTTTCAGTTTTTCATCCTCTGTTATGATTGGTTTCAAATCTTTGATTATCTTTCTTATCCCTTATGTTGGATTATATGTGGTTACTAGAGGTACACAGTTATTTTTTTTTTTTTAGTTTTTTTTCTCTTTATATTATAGGAGTCTTCCTCCTTGGGTTTTCAGGGCCGTGTTTATACTTGTATTGATGGTTTTATCACTTTTGATCTCCCTAGAGGTATTCCCGAGTGTAGCTCAGGGTAAAGTTTCAGCACCACAAGCGGTAACCCCGAGCTACACTCGGGAATACCTTGCAGCATTGCTCCGGGATCTCTTCTTCACTTACCTTGTGCTGCACTCCCACGATGTCCCTCCTGCAGCGTCCCCGGCAATGTCCTCTGGCCGATGCCGGCATCTGTCTTTTGGGTTCTGTTCCCTGCGACGTCGGGACGTACGGGGACAGAACCGGCGGGAAATTAAAAAATGTGAAAAAGTGACATTCACTAAATACACTAAAATCACATAGTAAAACATTACTGTATCAAACCATTTCACATACATTTTGTCCCGAGTGCTTTGTCCTGTGCCCTGCCTGCATTTTTGCTGTTCTTTCTGCCTTGAAACTGAGAAAAGTCCATGGCATCCAAAAAGCGTCCCTTTAGGTCAAAATCGGTTTTAGACCAGCTAGAGAACAGTGATAGTAAATTAGAACCATTTGCAGAATTGAGTGATAATGATTTGTGGGGAAATTCGTCATCAGACACTGAAAACGATTTTGCGACTTTGCTCTGTGATGTGCGAACTTAGAGCCCTATTACAAATTTCAGTGTTTTTGGTTTGATTATATTATTGAATTAAATTTATTATTATTATATTATTATTTTTTATGATATTTATTAAATTATAATTTATGATTTCGTGTTTCAAATTTTAACATACCCGGAATGTTTACTAGACTCTTGTTTGGACAGATTTCAGTGAGTTATTCCTAAAAATTACAGGCCTACAATAAAAAAAAATACATATTTCCACTATTTCCATGCAAAAAAATGTACCGCTTTGAGCACAGAAATATGGACATAATCAGACCACTAGGGAGGCTACTATGGAAAGAGTCTGCTAGTATTCTGTGATGTTTATTTCTGTCTTCTGGATTTGAACATATTCGTTGGCCATCAGATACCACCGTTTGTGTTTTTTTTTTTTTCCTCAGAGAATGTCTCTTTAACATTCTGCTCCAACAAAATGTCTTTTCTGCAACAAACATTTTTTTATATTTCATTATTTCCACTTCTTTATATTAAAACAAGTAATTTCAACTTAGGGCCTGTTCACATGATATTTTTGGAGTAACATGCATGTTACTGCTTGCTGTACCACAATATACAGTAATTTACATTAAGTGCACAGGTGCAATGCCCTTCTGAACACAACTTTCCTACTGACATTAATTACAGTGCAGCACAACATGTGGCAATGCAATAACTTGTTGTACACTCATTTTTGGGAGCATACCAAAATGTTTTTAAGTGCAGTGCCATGAGTTGTGCTGAGGTTTAACACACATCCGTAGGAAAGTTTATTGGGGTCCCATACAGAATTGGATAACACACTCCGTGACACAAATAGATGCTGTGAATGGGCCCTTGGACAACTGTATTGAAGCTTGGCAAAGAAAAGTTGTAATTTACCCTCATACCAGGCACCCTAAAGTGATTTATCCTACTGTGATTGTACCACATGCTACATTCCCCAGTAATCCTAAGCAAATCCCAACTTTCTAAATGTTAGTATTTCTTTAGGGTTAGGTGTGGGCTCTATGTAAGAGTGCTCAGGGTGGGGTGATGTGTAGCTCATGTACTGAGCATTGCAGTTGTTGGGGTAGGTATGCACACTCACAACATACCTAGATGGTTCAGGAATTATGATTAGGATCTGATTAGGATCTGGAATGTGTGAAACATGTTAGTGACATGGTCTCAGGTGGCAGGTTTGCTGAATGTGTTCGTTCTGCATACTTATAAAACTTACTGGATCTTCTATATGTCATTGGTGTGAATCCCAATCCTTTTAGCTTAGGTGGGGTAAGTGTGAAAACTCACAACATACCTAGATGGTTCAGGAATTATTTCACATCAATACTGTAACACTTTGGTTAGATGATGTTGAGCTGAGTTCTGACATTTTACAATGCCTTCTGTCCACTATCACCCTTATTTTGGTTTGTTAAGTGTCATTACATACAGTGCTGTGAAAAAGTATGTGCCCTCTTCCAGATTTGATATTTTTTTCATATTTGTCACATTTAAATGATTAAACTCCTCAAACAAATTTTAATATTGCACAAAGATAACCCTGGTAAATACAAAATTGAGTTTTTAAAAGATGATTTTATTTATTAAGGGAAAAAAGCTGTCCAAACCTGCATGGACCTAAGTGAAAAATTAATTACCTCCAGGAGCCCCTCTAAATACCCCCTAAACCTAAAAACTGGTTGTGCCACCCTTGGCTGCAACAACTGCAATCAAGCATTTGTGATAACTGATAATGAGTCTTTCACATCGCTGTGGAGGAATTTTGGTTCAGTCTTCTTTGCGGAATTGTTTTAATTCAGCCACATTGGAGGGTTTTCGAGCATGAGCAGCCTGTTTAAGGTCATGCCACCGCATCTCAGTCAGAATTATTATTATTATTATTACTACAAGTTTATATAGCGCCAAAGGGTTTGCTCAGCGCTGTACAATAGGGGGGACAATACATGGCACAGTACAACAACAACAAACAACGTACGAGGGGTAAGAGGGCCCTACTCTTACGAGCTTACAATCTAGGAACGAGCTTAGAATTAAGTCCAGACTTTGTGTAGGCCACTCCAAGACCCTAATTTTATTTATTTTTTGAGCCATTCAGAGGTGGACATGCTGTTGTATTTCGGATCATTGTCCTACTGCATAACTCAAGTGTCCTTGAGCTTCAGGTCACAAACTGATGGCTGGACATTCTCCTTCAGGAATTTCTGGTACAGTGCAGAGTTCATGGTTCCATCAATTTTTAGCAAGTTGTCCAGGTCCTGAAGCTGCAAAGCAGCCCCAGACCATCACACTACCACCACCATGTTTGGCTGTTGAAAGATAAAAACAACAAAAATGCGGTTTAATGTTGATAAATGTAAGGTTATGCAATTGGGGGCTAAGAATATTCATGCATCATACATACTAGGAAGGTACAACTGGGGGAATCAATGGTGGAGAAGGATCTGGGAGTTCTGGTAGATCACAAGCTTAATAATGGCATGCGATGCCAAGCTGCGGTTTCTAAAGCGAGCAAAATCCTCTCTTGTATTAAAAGAGGTATAGACTCCAGAGAGAGAGATATCATTTTACCCCTGTGCATATCATTAGTAAGACCTCATCTGGAATATGCAGTTCAATTTTAGGCACCAATTCACCAAAAGAATATTGGGGAACTGGAGAAAGTACAGAGAAGGGCAACCAAACTGATAAGAGGCATGGAGGAGCTCAGCTATGAGGTAAAGATTAGAGGAACTGAATTTATTGTCTCTTGAGAAGAGGAGATTAAGGGAGGATATGATCAACATGGACAAGGGGGGTACTCTTTACATCTGTAGGAAAATAAATTTAATCTCCAAACACAGTAATGTTTCTTCACAGAAAGACCTGTGAGAATGTGTAATAGATTCTCTCAAGAGTTGGTTCTGGTCAGCTCAGTGGATTGCTTTAAAAAAGGCCTGGATTGTTTCTTGGATGCACAGAATATAACTGAATACTAACATTTATAGGTAAAGTTGATCCAGGGAATATCTGATTGCCTCTCGGGGGATCAGGAAAGAATTTTTTCCCCTGAAGGAGCAAATTGGATCATGCTTTGCTGGGTTTTTTTTTGCCTTCCCCTGGATCAACTGTGGGTGTAGGATTATAACTTTTTTTTTTTATGGTTGAACTGGATGGACTTTTGCCTTTTCGGCCAGACTAACTATGTAACAGTGCGGGATCTCTGTTAGCATGATATATAACATTTATTACAACAAAATGTAACACACTTACATCTTAAAACTCTGGTCATCAGCACAGGGATAACGTGAAGACACCAGCAGCTGGTGGTATTCAGCAGAAATATGAGGAACTCTCAAACCAGCATGGAGAGTTTTATTCTGACAGCTGTCAGAGTGCCGCTTGGAATCCTGGAGCACTATGAACTACCTCGTGGTATTCCGTGTGGAAAGCTGGAACTTGTAGTGTGCTGGATTGCTTTGGTTTATTATGTTTGACTGTTTGGTATGATGTTCTTTTTATGAAATGCTGTGTTAGTTTTATGCCAGATGTAACGGGACACACACCTTCCAAAAAGTTCAACTTTTTCACATAGGGCCAGGCAGGTTTGGACAGCTTTTTTCCCCCTAATAAATGAAAACATAATTTAAAAATATGATTTACTGCATTTTATATTTACTTGGGTTATCTTTGTGTAATATTAAAATGTGTTTGATGATCTGAATTATTTAGATGCAACAAATATGCAAAAAAAAAATCAGGAAGGGGACAAATACTTTTTCACAGCACTGTATCTCTTCTAAAGAAATAGAATTTGTACGTTCTTCAAGCTCAATAAAACACACATTATGTTATTTTGATGCCTGATTAGTAAACAGTGCAAAGAGGAAAGTGTACCATGATGTATCTATAGCAACCAGTCACAATCCATCCTGTATTGGTATGACTTTCATAAAGTAAATTCTTGATTTAGCTTATAGTAGACTGTTGCATTTGTGCTCCCTACAGACTGGACACATTTCAGTAAAGATCTCTTTTAATTCGTAGTGACAGCTACCTTGCCCTAGCCAGCAGGTGTCACATAATGAGAATGTAACGGTAACTGTATACAGGGATGTATGTGTTCTCCTAGATAATGGATTCTGTGTAGCTGCCATGTCCTTATTCCCAGTAATTGGTTGCTCATCTCCTGGGAGATGTGTCCAGTGTACCATTCCATCATGATTTCAATCTATCTGCCTGCTTCTATCCCTTCAATCAGGGCTTTGCATTGGCTCATTTTCTTTTGAATGATTTGATGTGCATTGTTGTGTGGTCTTCCCATCTGACAAATAATCAAAGTGTAGACTTCTTCCTGTGTGTCTTTTCTACTATCTATCTGCCCCGTCTTATTTTCTGATATGGACTTCTGATAGATTTGCTGGCTATATTTAGAAACCTTTGTTACATTGTTACTATATCTATTATTGTGTGTAAATTCATTTGGCAGTGTATGTGGGTTGTATTGTTTATCACGTCTATTATTTATGTAAGATGAAGGCAGATACTCTGCCTAAGATTGATGTAGCTATTCCCAAAGGTAATATATTTGATGGGTAGTGTGGATTACATTTAGAGATTCTCAAGATTACTCATAATATGAATTTGTAGAATCGATTTCCTGAATGAACAATAAAGGTAGCCTTCAGCCAAACAATAAAATGTTGCATTTAACTGACTCATTGTACATAGCCTACCTGCATTATGGCCATAACATGAATTTTCTATGTCTTCTTGTCCTGTTAGCTGAAGCACTGTGGTTACTACAGTATATCCTTTCTGTGCATTCCATACATTCCTGCACAGTCTCTGAACGTCCTGCAACCTCCTTAAGAGGGAGTTTACACTTCAGTGAACCATGTAACCAGGGGCTGTAGTCCTACCTAGCAGCATTGTGTACAGTGAATATTTAATGAATATTGTTGAGCAAGATTGCACAAATTACACATTAATTTCCATCTGACTTAAGCGTAGAAGAAATTTTCCTGCATTGCATTAGCAGCTTACTGACTGCCAATGCTTAGAAGTGCTCTACTGATAAATTAGCCATTAATGACAGGTCCACTTTATAAATAGTTTTGGTGACGAATTGAGCAAAAGGGAAAAGTGGGACTTTATTAGTTCTCTTTATTGAGCCTCTTTTAAAAAACTATCAAGCTGCCTTAATGGAGTCAACTAAGACCAGCCTTCAGTCCTGGATGTGATTATGTTCAGTATACAGCAAGTATATCACTGACCATGATATGATAAGATGGACTGAGCTTTAGATAAACTTGGATTTTTTTGAAAGACAATAATTCTATATTGTTTTCTAACAGATAAATCAACATACCGGAAAAATGAAGACATATATGTACAACGCCAAACAACCCGCATGCGATTATCAAAATATGCTTCTTATAATACTTACCACCATTGTGAGCAGTGCCACCAGTACATGGGATACAACCCCAGATTTCAGGTAAGTAACAGTAAGGAACCTTTGAGATCTATAGTTGTGAGTCTGTATATATTGTATGATATTTGGGTGTCTTGTATTGTACTCCAGCTATATGCAACAAACACAAATAGATGCAGCTTGTTTTTCATTAACGTAAAATATAACTAAAGGTTAAATCTATTTTTTAAGATTTGGATAGAGTGGTGAACTAAAGAAAAAAATCCTCTTGTGCTGCCAAACCTAATATGATAAACTAAGAGTGGCTGCAAACAGAAAATTGCGTTCCCACAACACTAAAAAATAAATGAATAGATAAATAGTGCTGCGCTACTCACTAAACCTAACCATAAAGCAAAAAGTAAACACCTGACAGAGCTCCTAACAGGTGATATAAGTGCATACTTAGACAAGAACCAAACACAAGTGAATGAAAATATCCAAACGGACTAGATACCCTGCTAGGCAATACCAAATATGAACAAATCAATAAGTGAAACTTCAACATATGTGCAAATAGATAATCTGAGTGATATATATCAAGGCATAAATAATAATAATGATAATTTTATATATATATATATATATATATATATATATATATATATATATAACAAAGGACACAAAATAAAAAGAACACGTTGGACAAAAAAAACATCCGGCTGAGCCCTCAACCCAGTGACAGTCTGTGAATAAATGTCCATAAATGTAGTAAAACTCAAGATCTGTAATGCATAAAAATCTTCATATTAGCATATAATCCACATTTGACTTGAACAGTGATCACTCTTAAAAATCTTCCACCAGCTAGCCTGCATGCTCACCTCCCATTTGGACCTATAGGGAATATAGGTCAAATGCGCTTTAATATCAACCCGAAATCCAACCAGCTCTCCTCTGTAAGCATACTTTACTGGCTCCTACTCCAATTCCTCATCAGAAATCTATGTTCAAAAAAACATCAAAGACATCTCATAGTGTAATACATCCATGTTTAATGTATAAAAACCAGGTAGAGAATACTCAACTTTTAAAATCAGGCCAGCAGACCTCTACAAGCAGTGTTAATAAAATACATAGGAACAGGTGTACCAAGCTGTCTGACCAGAAATGATGTCACCACACTTCTTTCCAAGGAAGTGTGGTTACATCATTTCTGGTCGGATGGCGCCTGATCACGAATGTTACCTGGAATGGTACTTTTAATGGTAAATGTATTTTTTAATGTGCACACAGTGTAAGTGCCTGAATTTGACCTGGTATCAGCCTCTTGCAATCCCATGTACATCAGAGCTTGGACTGGGAGAAGGAGAAACCTCACAAAGAGTCAATCAGTGCTGCAGTGCTCATGTGCTATAAAGGGACATGAAGAGAAAACAGAGGGACAGAGAAATTACATTATCTCTCTGCAGCTTCACTTTTCACTGGACAATCACAGGCTGGGGGAAGTACAAGACTTGTAAGTGTTACTTAACAGCAGCAGAGAAAAATCAGGTCTCATTTTCTTGCAGACAGGGCTGTGGCAGAGCTGTGTAAATCTCAGAACTAGAAGCTTCTTCTTTATACATTTCATCTTTGTATTTAGCTCAGGGGCGGACTGACCATTTGGAAACTCGGGCACTGCCCAAGGGCCCGGGGTCAGTAGGGGGCCCCATGAGATGCCCCTGGTACCTTTTTCATAGGCTTTTTTGAGTTTGGGCAAGGACACAGGGGCCCCATGATCCCCTATTGCCCGGGGGCCCCATGAGTTGTCAGTCCGCCCCTGATTTAGCTGTTTGCTTGGAGGTTAGCTTTAAGGATTTTAACTGTATATTGAATAAGACCTTTTGTTTTTGCTCCATTGTGGAGATTAGCACCTATTGAATTAGCATTTGTATTCCAGACCAGCAGAGAGCAGAAATTTTGATATATTTTCTTATAATATTTCTCCACAAACTTTTCTTTTTACCTTTGTCAACAGATGTATGAATCCACATTGCATGCTTTTGCATTCTCCTATTCCATGCTAGGAGAGGAAATACAGTTACACTTCATAATACCTAAATCCAAAGAGCACCATTTTGTGTTTAATCAACCAGGCGGTCAACTTGAGAGCATGAGGCTATCACTTGTCTCTGATACGGTAAGAGAAAAAATATGACCCTTGGCCTAAGTGCTTGAATTGTTACTGTCAGATACAAAAGACTTTGTGGTCAAAGCAATAACTATTGCTAACTTTTCATGCATAAAAACATTTGTGAATTTTAGAATGTAAATTTGGTAGTTTGCAGTGATCCTAAGTTTTGTGTTTCCTATGTAACATAGACTTTCTTCTCTTATGACCAGAGTGCTGACTGTGTGAAAAGCCCCATCTTCACACCCACAACGGGCCGCCACGAACATGGTCTGTTTAACTTGTATCATGCTATGGATGGCAGCAGCCATTTACACATCTTAGTCGTTAAGGAGTATGAGATGGCGATCTATAAAAAGTATTGGCCCAACCACATTATGCTGGTCTTGCCTAGTATCTTCAATAGTTCTGGAGTGGGTAAGTGTCAACAGTAGCTAGCCTTATAAAATCCTCCATGTAAAGGGTTATAAATGACAGTGTATATCAGTATGCTCATATTCTAAGCCCTTATTGCAATGTGTATCATAAGGTCATTTTGAACTTCACTGTCAGGGCTCCCGGTAAGACCAGAGATGGGTGAACTGACACAGGGAAACGCAGGCTCAAGTATGGTGTAACAATATAATTTATTAAGGGTTATACACAAATATAACGCACAATATAACAAAACCAAACCTCCAACTGATAACGGAATGTACACAGATAAGAGCAGTCAGGGCTGGCGAGGTGGAGTGGTCAGGCGGGCCGGGTCAGGAACAATCAGGCAGACAAGGTACCAAAGGAGCAGGCTGGAGAGTGGTCAGGAATAGCCGAGGTCAGGACAGGCGGAGTTCATTCAGGGTCAGGATCAAGCAGAATCAGGAATCAGACAGGAAGCAGACAGGATGCAGGGACAGGGGCTCATGGGAAACATACACCAAGGCACTGACTGCAGCTCTGGCCATTCCTTAAATACACTTCCTGCAATCAGCCTCAGGTGATGGCTGACTGCAGGAGTGAGCTTCTGGTTGCTGAGAGCACCCGCTGGCCAGCCCTGGTACTGCAGCCCACAAGGCAGGTGAGTCCCACCATTCCTGGCATTCCTGACATTCACTTTTTACATGCATGCATGCTGTACCATGTGTTATTGCATTTCATATTTAGAGTTGGTGACTCCCTGTGGAGCTGCTGACCATATTTTTCTTTATGTATTTGTCCTTCTGGAGTTAGAACTGCTAAAATAAAAATAAAGATTAAAATATAGCATTGTTTCTGACCAGTCTTCAGATTGGAAAGTTTGCATTGTGAGAGAGGTTAGGGAACCCCTAGGCCCCTTTTACACTTGTGGACTGTTTGTCAATTTTTCATCCATCAGTTGACTGGTGAAAAATGGACATCAATACATCTCTGTGGAAAAACAGATGTAAATGGATGATCATCCATTTACATCCGCTTTCGTCAACATCGGTTTTTAAATGGATCAAAGCCCTATTTTTCTTTCGTTGAAAAAACTGAACAGATGAAAAGTGGATATAAAGAGACAAATGGTCTGTTTTTGCATCCGTTTAGGCATTAGTATTGGCTGTTAAAAAAAATTAAAAAAACTGATAAAAAAAACTGGTGTAAACTTCATCCATTTTTTTTTAAAAATGTGACTGAACTGATTAAATAAATGGTCTGCACCTGGCCTTAGACTGGAATTTCTCAAGCCGTTCACTGTCTTGTGGTAGTGGTGCCTTCAGAAAGGCCCATCCAGTGATTCTGCAGAGAGTAGGTTGGACTGGACAGGTTAGAAAATCTTGTTTACATGCCTATAAGCCAAGACTAGTTACACTATGCCACAGCTCCCTTGTCCTGTAGCACTCTTCTCATTAAAGTGGTTCTAAAGGCAAAGGTTATGCATTCTCTGATTAGTGGACAACATTAATTAGAGGACACCATAAGAGGAGATAAGGAGCTGCTCTGTTCAATGCATAGTCACATAGTTGGTAAGGTTGACTAGAGACATCAGTCCATCCAGTTCAACCTGTGTTCGTGTATGAGTGCTTTTGTATTTATGTCTCTACCATTTCCCATATCCCTGTGTATTGCGCTTGTTAAGATGTCCATCTGAGAGGTTTTTTTTTAAATTATCGACAGTCGTTGTTGACACTGTCCATTGTGAAAGGGAGTTCCACCTCCTTATCGCTCTATCGCTTCTGTCTCTTCTCTTGGGAGAATAAGTTAAATGTTTGCACACAGTAGTATAACATGTTATTTTAGGGGAAAATGTAGCTTTACAGTCACTTTAACCATAGACCTAACTGAGCCAAATGTGTCTAGTAGTAGTTAGTCAGATTCAGCTGGACCTGCTCTGTAAGGTTGAAGATGGTTCTTAGCTTGTCCAAGCCACTTCTTCAGTTCTAATGAGTGACAGGAAGATACCTCAAAATTTAAGCTGGCCATAAATGGATGGAATCTCGGCCGATTCAGCAGGGATCCATCTATGGGCAAGCTGGTTGTACTGAGGTCGAACCATTGATTGACTTCGGTACAACCAGGTTGTTGGATAATTTGCATGTGATTACTGCTGGCGACTATAGTCTCCAGCAGTGATCATTATGTTCTGCTGGCAGGGAAGGCTGCCCTCCAGCAGAACACAGTAGCTCTGCATGAGAGATTCCCTCATCAACACCAATTGTGTTGATAGGGGAATCAAGTGATTTTCATTCCTGCAACATGTGGTTGCAGAAAAGAAAATCGCATCATCTATGGCTTGCCTTATATCCATGCAGGTATCAAAGTCACCTTGATCCAGTTACCATGGAAAGGCAGATGTTATTGTCTAAAGACAAGATCGGACACTAGACAATAACATCTGACTAAGGACAGAAGGAAACAATAGAGAATATCAACTGCCTAATGACAGGATGAGACAATAAACAATAACATCTGTCTTTCCATTGTTGTTGGATCCAGGTGTTGGTTCTTTCTGTAGATATAAATGCTGGGGTATTTTCCTGACATTCATCACAACATAAGTAAAGTTTGCAGATTATAAGCCCCTATTAATATCGTAATCATAATAGTTGTAAGCATCAGAATGCTTCCTGTTGTTTACAAATCTATCTTTTAAACTTACTCCAGAGTTTAGTAAATAGGGAGTGAATTCCTTTAAAATGGTCATGATAAAAAATAATAATAACTTGGCTATTGTGAGTGAAGAGGTGGGTAGGGGTGGGATGGCAGAAAGTGGCTTGGGAGGTGAACTTCTGCTTTAAGGATGAAGACCTTTTTTTTTCGATTTTTCTCCAGTAGAGCATTTTCTGTATTTATTTATCTGTAAAATGCTACAGCAAAGGGCTCAGCTTGAATCAGAGCACAGACAGAGGTACAGCAGGGCAGAGAATTACATTGATTAATTGAAATCAGACTGTGGTGCGAGTTGTAATAGCGCTGTGCTGTTTGCTGATTCTTGACATTCATTATCAGTTTTGTACTATTTGTCTCCTCATTACACACACACAGCCATGACACCTCCGACCTTTACTATTCACAAGCAAAACTGGATGCCTTATTTACTAACTTCTATTTCAGTTAATTTCTCTCTTTCTTATATGTCTTTCAAACTTTGTTAGTTAATTATGGATTTAGCTCAGCATGTATTGCTGAATGCTCTGGGGTTGTTTCAGGTAAATAAATGTTGATGTACTTGTCTATATATTCACAGTGCCAGCAGGTATATAATATTTTGTTACACATTTAGCTCTGATATCTCAGTTGCAGTTTTTCTAGCTCTGGTCCATAGGGACAAAAAACCATTACAACATTAATGTACAATCTCTACACGATCGGCTCATTGTAGGCCAAGAGACTGTATGATTGGATATAAAATGAGGTTTGTTTAGGTAGGCCCTTACAGATTGCAAAACAATGGAGTACCAAGTAATATGTGTAAGAAGTGTTTTGATGCATCGTAATACATTTATTACAATGCATAGGTATAAATAGGGCCTAAACATAAAGGAGATACTGTAGTTATGAATAAAAACACTTTGTTAAAAATATATATTTCCATCTTCTTTCTTTTTTTCTTTCTAGCATTCATCATATAGTGTCCACTACATGCACCAATATACAGGATAACTGCTTTGATATTTATTTCAGGTACTTAAATAGCACCGTCAATTTTATGCATCACTTTACATATATATTGTACATTCACATCAGTCCCTAACCCTCAAAGGGTGTACAATCTAAGGTCCCTAACTTACATTCATACTAGGGCCAATTTGGACAGGAGCCAATTCACCTACCAGCATGTCTTTGGAGTGTGGGAGGAAACTGGAGTACCCAGAGGAAACCCACGCAGGCACAGGGAGAACATGCAAACTTCAGGCAGGTGGTGCCGTGGTTGGGGTTCGAACCAACGACCCTAGTACTGCCAGGTGGAAGTGCTAACCATTTAGCCACTGTGCTGCCCATATTGTGCCCAATTTGACTGTTGTGTTATTATAACATTGTTGATCACATACTTGTCTGTGTTGAGTTTGTATGTAATGCCTAAAGTAAAAGAGATTTTTTTGTCAGCTTTATTACATATACATTTTTTTAGAATGTTAGATACATGATTTCTAAAAGGGACATTGCTCTGACAATGTTCTTACAAAACAACTCTTAATATAAAATAGGAGACCACACAAAAATGAGAGAAAATATTCCAACACGTTTCAATCATTCCACACTCTAGATCTTCCTCAGTGGGCATAAAGAATGGGAGGCTTTCTAGTAAATATATGAGCAATCAAAAATTAATGTACCAAAAAAATAATTAAACAAATAATCAAAAAGATTTTATCACATGACCAAAAATTAATACTTACAAAAACATATGTCAGAGCAAAAAAGAGAGAGCTTCCAAGATGGGAGGCTAAAATCCATGTTTCAGCGGGGTGCACCATCCAAGAGAGCAAAAGTGGTCAGATGTTGATTACCAGAAAACAAGGGCTACAGAGGAGCACCAAAGCAACCCCCCAGTGAGACTATGGGTAGTGTAGAAAACAAAATAAATTAAATTCCAAATCACCAGACCAATTGAATAGACCTGATGAAAAAGTATAAATTCAAGAATGGTCCATAAGGAATATATCAAAAAAATGAGAGTGACCATGTCTTGTGCAGGACAATATATAGAGTAAATGGAATTTCACTTGGTGATAGATGTAACACCTCAGGGCAATAGAGTGGTAAATTGGGATATTAATTGCTCCAGGGGATGGAAATATGTCAGATCCCATAAGACAGAGACCATAACGGCATGTAAGACTGTGAAGAATCAAAATATTATGCATACGATTAGCAGCAATAGCCAATGGTGGTATAGAAAGCTGTACATTAGCAATGCCATGTGGGAATAAGAATATAAAGATATCCCAATTCACAAGTTGATAGGGTATGGAAATATAAAATATTGTACTGCAAAGAAGATTTATATCGATTTAGATCAAAAAGGAAGGAGAAAGCCACCTAATTATGAGATATGTAATAATATTGTTTTCTGGTGATCCACATCCAACCACTTTTGCTCTCTTGGCTGGTGCACCCTGCCGGAACATGGATTTCAGCCTCTCACCTTGGAAGCCATCTCTTTTTTGCTCTGACTTATGTTTTTGTAAGTATTCATTTTTGGTCATGTGATAAAATCTTTTTGATTATTTGTTTATTTTTTGGTATATTTATTTATGATTGTTCATATGTTTACTAGAAAGCCTGCTGTTCTTTATATCCCCTGAGGAAGATATAGAGTGTCGAATGATCGAAACACATCAGGGTATTTTTTCTCTTTTTTGTATGGTCTCCTATTTTGTATTAAGAGTTCTTTTGTAAGAACATTGTCAGAGCAATATCCCTTTTAGAAATCATGTATCTAACATTGTAAAAAAAATGTAAATGTAATAAAGCTGACAAAATATATTTTATTATAATGTCTCTTTGAATATATCTATGACCTCATTGCTGCAATAAAGTCCCACTGGGTTTTTTTCGTATATTTATTTATTTCAGGTACCTATATAGCACTGTCAATTTACGCAGCACTTAATATATATATTGTACATTCACACCAGTCCCTAACCCTCAAGGGGTGTACAATCTAAAGTCCCTAACTCACATTCATATATACACATACTAGGGCCAATTTAGAGAGGATCCAATTAACCTACCAGCATATCTTTGTAGTGTGGGAGGAAACCGGAGTACCTGGAGGAAACCCACACAAGCACAGGGAGAACATGCAAATTCCAGGCAGGTGATGCTGTGGCTGGGATTCGAACCAACGGCCCTTGTACTGCCAGGTGGAAGTGCTAACCATTTAGCCACTGTGCTGCCCTAAATAATAGTAGCGTAAAAATTCATACGCATAAACATGATGCAGATCTCAAGTGAAAGATCAATAAATGTATATAACATTCATCAATGAAAATAAATCTCAAATCACTTATAAATTTCACCAATAAAGTTCATTCAAAAGTGTACTATATGTCCATATAGTAAAAAAATAAAATAGTAAATTCTGAGAAATCTTCAATCCTCATATAAAGTGCCAAAATGCTCTGTGCAAAATTATATAGGTAATCTTCTCTGTGCTCAATAGACACCTTGGGGTTTATTTACTAAAGCTGGAGAGTCCAAAATCAGACTCCTTTCTGCATAGAAACCAATCAGCTTCTAACCTCAGCTTGTTCAATGAAGCTTTGGCAATGAAACCTGGAAGCTGATTGGTTTCTATGCAGAAGGGAGTCTGATTTTGGACTCTCCAGCTTTAGTAAATAAACCCCCTTGTGACCATCACCTTGAAAAAAATGGGTACTCATCCTTGGATCACAAATAAACAACTATTGGCATTCAATATGTAGCTAAACTATTTCAATGTGTCCGGCATTCCAGCAGAGTTACTGTAGCAAAAGAATCTCTCTCTCCAGTGGTCAAAGAGTTAAGCATCTCCAGCAAACCAAGGGTTACACAGAACACTCTTCTCCATCAACAACTGTAAATAAGGAATAGACAGAGTGCTGAATAGTGTCAAATCCTTAATTATTTATTGTCAAGACATTTACAGCACACTTGCATTTGTTAGTGTCTACTCAACACTCAGGATCACAGTGCAAAACCACCTTAAGCTCTGTTGAGTTCAGCCGTGGACCCTGGCTGAGAGCGGACAGGCACTAATGAACAAAAAAATATATATTTCCTTAGGTTTAGATAAATGGTGGTAGGATTAGACTCAGATGATCTATCTCTTTAAGTGATACAAATATTGGCTTGTGATAGCCTGTCTAGGCAGGAGAAGGTGACTAAGAAAAGGTACACAATAAAGCTCAGGTGCATTTGGTCCACCAAAGGGCTGAACCTAGAGTCAGACACTGGGAGTCTGGGCTGGTGAGCTGGTGCTGCAGTGGCAGTCAAACTTCATTTTTAGCCTTTGGGAACACTGCAGAGGAACAGACAAGGACCCTAAGGATGAGGACCAGAGCCTAATCCAGGAGGCTGAATGTGTGTTGGTAGCAATACACTCAATAACCCCTTGTGTTATATGTTTTTTTTCCTTTAAATAAAAGTGGGCAAGGATCCCTTAAATGTACCTTTCTGGCTGGAATTGAATTCCTGAAAAGCTATTTTCATAATAGTTACATGGTTGGTCAGGCTGAAAATAATGACACAGGTCTATTGAGTTCAACCAATCCTCAGAACCTAAAAACCCTGTACCTTTGTCAATTCTATTTCTGTCTGCATCCCTTTTGGGTAACTTCACAGGGCATAGTCAACATAGACTCTGAAATAAATATCACAAGAGAATATCAAACTCTTCTCCTTTCTTTCTATCTAACATAAATAGTTTGGGATAAAATTCCACTTCCCCTCCCCCCCATCCCAAAAGTTACATTTTGGGAATAGGGGAAGGGGCAGAAAGTCCTGTTCCATTCTGTATGGACCGACTTGGTTTTTACACTTTAAAGCTGCAGCTTTAGAAGGAAGAGGCCGGTTGCCGGGACATGTTTCGTGTGCATGCGCTTTATCAAGTCTGATACATGCGCACAAAACATGTTGTCCCGGCAACCGGCCTCTTCCTTCTAAAGCTGCGGCTCCAGCAAGAGTTCCCCCCCTCCGTCTCTCCACATCGTGGGTGACGTCATCCGGGACGCTGGGACGTCGGATACACGTGGTCCCTGCACTGACAGGCATTCTACTCCACTACTTCCCTCTGAGCGGACGGGCCGTCCATCTTGGAACCTGGCTTCTTAAAGCCACAGGCTGGTTATCTATTTTTTACCATATGAATTATTAAAGGCACACCTCCATATAAGGTGTATTACTTTTATTACAAAACTACACAGCGCCTGGCTCCTGTTCATACATTCATTTTCATAGGCTGCTGTAAATGTGTTTCATGCAGTAAAAGGGTTCCTGCAGCATTTTGAAAATGCAGTGGCTGCGAAATCACATGGTGCTTTTGTACCATGCTATTTCTGTGTGGTTTCTGCTCCACAATACATTTTTAGATGCATGGGGATGCCATTAAGAATAACTGGCAGCCCCATGCACTTTTAAAGAGCAGCATGTTTTGGCTTTGGGTGGTTGCGAGCACAGGAAGAGCTGCGGTTCCGCACCCGCAACCATCTGCAGTGGTGTGAACCTAGCCTTGTTATAGTTATTATACAAATGTAGAAAATGAGAGAATTATTGTATTATAGTTGTTACATTAACATTGGGTGATTATTTTCCTTGCTAAGCAATGAAAACACAAATTAACCCTGAACATTTTCTTTTATGAGGAAAATAATCCATCACAGAAAACTTCCAGTCTGGGAATTCCTACAAGTCATCTATTTGCATGAGCTTAGAGATCCTTTGAAGGTCAACCCTTGCTGCTGCTTGAAGTTGTATTGTGAATGTTTGGCTGCCTTTACATACTGCACAGATAGGAATTCTAGGATTGCCAAAACTCAGAATGGACAAGCAGTATATAACTTTAGAAAAGTATGCCCCTTGCTGACATTTTACTGGTCCTCACTGGTCCTCCTTTATTTTGCAATGTCTATCCATAGCCTCTTTTTGCTTATAGTATTGCCTTTGTGTTGTTGCCGGCAGCAGATGGGGGGCATAAAGAGCTGTTTGAACATTTATTAAAGAGACTATGCAGGGAAAGCACAGAGTAGAACATACACAGTATGGCCCTTTTCACATGGGGTGGGCTCCATTCAGCAGGGGATCTGTGGAAGATCTCGCTCTGCTCTGTTTGAGTTTGTGTACACCCTGCTACCTCTGATCTGTTCTGCTAAAATGGAAGAGGAGGCAGTCCTCAATGTTTGTTTTTTTAGTGGACCTGATCAGACTTGGAGGTAGGCGGGTGTAAATGGACACAAGTCCATTTACACCCGCCTGTCCATATGGATGCATGGACCTTTCGATCAGGTCCATCTGAAAAGCAGACAGGCGGACCTGATCAGAATGGCCGTGTGAAAGAGGCATTTAAGAGGATATAGTTTATTGAGATTGATTTACCTGTCACCATTCCTGACATATAGACATTTACAGTATTGGTCTGAGAATGGCTCCTTTAGAGACCTCAGGCAAGGACTTTATATAAATATTTATTTCCACTTATTAGCCGTGATATGTTTCCATTTCCTACAAATAACAATGTGCTCCTCTGCCTGTCAGGTTTGAGGGTCCCTAGGGTGAGTAAAAGAACTTCTAACAATAAAGAAGAATATGTGTGGGCGATAAGATGCCTAAAGACAAGCAGATGTAAGACACCAGTATGTTAGGAATAATGACAGGTTGACTTTAACCTATCTACCAGGTTATCAAGCAACATGAAAAAATGGTATTAAATAATTCTGTGTGCACAGCTGAGTAAATGCACTTGCAAAGTAGCATAACCTTTATTCTGTATATATTGATTTGTACAACGATCTGTCATTTCAGCACAATAATGTACACGGTCTTGTCTGTTCCTTAGGAGCTGCTCATTTCCTCATCAAGGAGCTGTCTTATCACAACTTGGAATTGGAGCGGAATAGACAGGCTGAGCTGGGGGTCCAGCCCCAAGATGTCTGGCCTTTCATAGTCGTAGCAGATGATTCTTGCGTGATGTGGAACACTGTGGATGTCAGTGTGACAGGAGACCATGCGAGGTACAAGCCATGGAGACATTTCATTAGTCACCATGTCTATAATTTCCGTAGTGCTGCTTGAATGTTTGTAGAGTTACTTCAAAATGGTAAAGCAAAGCTTCACTTAGTATTATTTGCCTATAAAATAAGCACATTTTTTAATCCCTGTGGGGTTTTAGAAAAACAATATTTCTTTTTTTTTTTTTTTTTTTTGTAAAGAATTAGGTATGCAGAATTTACAATTAAAAAAGCAAACTATCTATTCTCCTTGAATGCTGCTTATGTAAAATAATGGCCACCTTGTGGATGCACAGTCAGCATAGTCAATAGTCATGAAGAGTCTTTTGTATTCCTTTAAGCACAGTCATTTCTCTCTGATCTCCACCACCTGACCAAAAAATGTGGGTAATCTTCCTTATGGGGTTCTGCCTGCCACCTGCCTCCTGGACAGGAAATGGGGGTAAAGCTCCCTCATGGCTGACATTTGCCACTTAGACAGCAAATGAAGAGAAATCTTCCTAATCAGGTTCTGCCCAACATCTGCCACCTTGGCAGGAAATGAGAAGAAATCTTCCCCATGAGGACACAGACAATAAACTCCTGACTGTGGTTCTAACCCTTCCCTACTCTGCTATGAATTGCATTTTTGTTGATGGCTGTGTCCTTGTTTTATCTGATAGATTTCCAAATAAATAGGAAGTACAGTAATGTTCTCTAATTAGCTGTTCTATCTGACATGCAAGGAGCCTCAGAATGGGGACAAATAGAGATACAGACTGCAATAAACTGACAGGTTTATAACCCATCCAAACACCAAAAAATGGCTAGAGATGTGCATGTAAAACAGCTCCATTGTATGTATTTCATGTACGTATCTAGCTATTTGCCTAGAGTCCAGCTTTAAATAACATCAATTTTAATGCTTCTCAGGAACTCTGGCAAGTTCTTTGCTTTAGAGTTCCTAGTTCTGTACTCTTGCCAAAGTGGCTTTATAGAACTCCATGGTGGGTAGTGATAAGGCCTGGCAGAGAGATCTCACCATACGCATCTCCTAAGATTGCTTCACATGTACAGTATATACTTGTCTGCATGAGTCATTTCTGATCCTTTATCATCAAGCACTTTCTGGAGACTCCATCCCAGGGGCAGACTGCCAACTCATGGGGCCCCCGGGCAATAGGGGATCATGGGGTCCCTGTGTCTTTGCCCAAACTCAAAAAAAGCCTATGAAAAAGGTACCGGGGCATCTCATGGGGCTCCCTACTGACCCTGGGCCCTCGGGCAGTGCCCGAGTTTCCAAATGGTCAGTCCGCCCCTGCTCCACCCCCTCCAGCACACAGCACGTGATTCACAGCCTCAACCGTGCATTTTTCCCTATGAGTATGTGTAGAGGGAGGGTGTGACCATTCCATTCTCTCCACTCAGGTCTCAGATTACACTCCACTCTGTGCTGTGCCGTATGTGACATCAGATCCCTGCCCCTGCCTCTGAAACTCAGAAATACTGTGTAAACTGTGCATTTTGAATGGCTGTAGAAGAGAGAAGACTACTTTCTTCCACCATTGGACAGACACTAATGTAACTCCTGTCTTTACATACTAGAGTTACATTACCCTGCCACTCTACTACTAGGAGAAAGGGAAAGCAGTTTTTTGGCAGAGGAGACATACAAAGTCATCCCTTCCACATAAATCTACGTAATAACCCTTGTTTATAATCTTTGTGTATTGATTGACCCTTATGCGTCTCTGTCTTTACGACCTGTATCTAATCATGCCCACTTTACTACACCCCAGGGACTGCTCATGGACTGAAAGAAATGTATCTTTGAAGTACATCTTGCAGCAAATGGAGGGGACACAGAACATCACTCAGTACGCCATGCTGGGCATGCGGAAGTGGACCAGTAAAACTAAAAGCAAAGACTTGAGAGAACCTTTCTCCCGCTGTCACCTGCATGACTTCCTCCTCCTCAATGTGGATCTGACGCAGGATGTTCAGTACAACCAGAACAGGTAGGAAGGAAGACACACCACACACATCCAATATTGAAGGAAAGGCTCTCAGAAACCTGTCAGCGATAGTCTGTGGATTGAATTGAAAGTTTTGCAAAATTGATTACTAATTTTTTCCCACTTTTTAACTGTAGCAAGTGGAAAATACAGTATGTGTCTCTATTTATACAGCCTTCAGTCAGTTTCAGAGATCAATTAACACAGCCTGTAAATGGAGAGGGAAATCTGATTAGTTTATGTGACAACACAAGCAGCTTTCTGGTCGTTCAGCCAACACAACCAGCAATTTTAGCTGAACGCTTTGCCTTTAGTTCTCCTTAAAATGGGTCATGTTATGCAACAGTACTGCCCACCAGACATTACATGGGGTATCAGTGTACCGCAATACTTTGCATGTCTAAGGCTTCATGTATACAAGCCTACCCTGACTGCCAGCCGTGGGAAAACGCAAATCGCGGCAACCACGATATCCGTGGTTGTGCCACATTTTGCGTTTTCCTGTGATCGGCGATCCCAAAACGTTGCTATCCTGAACACGATGAAGCCTAAGGGTTCATGTACACGAGCAGCTCCTAAACTCGAGTTTAGGAGCTTCTGGCATTTTTTTGCCAAAGCTCCTAAACTCAACTCCATAAAGCCTATGTGTCCATGTGCTGCATTTAGGTGGGGTTAAACCTTTCTCTCCAGAATGCTAAAGAATTGCATTCAGAATAGGAATGTTTTGGATGCCAACCGTGGGAAAACGCAAACCACGGCAAAACCGCGGCAAGATGCAGCAACCGTGGTACCGAGTTTTTGCCATGATTTGCATTTTCTCACGGCTGGCGGTCAGGGTAGGCTTGTGTACATGAAGCCTAAGAAACTGAGCTTTTAGATGTGTGGAGTAGCAAAAACACAGCCTGTTTTTACTGCCCCTTGGCAATCTTCTCAGAGTATTTGCATATTTTACAAACAACCACTGTAGATCAACGCTGTTATCTGGTTTGTTAGAGTGAAATTCCAGTTTTGCTGAAAAAATGGCAACGATTTAGCAACTAGGCTAATCTAGTTCTATCCAAATGTTGCACTCCCAGAGCAGTAAACCTAAAGCTTTTGCCAGGGATGTTATAGTTCATGCAACTGACTGCCTCAAAGTTGACATCTAGTGCTTTGCAGCAACTGTGAGACAATTATTAGAGCACAAGTGTGAAGGTTTTGGGAAATCATGTCTACAAATAAATACTGTCACCTTCATTGCAAAATATATATTGATTTATTTTAACATTTATATAAATCATAGCTAGATTCAGTCTAAAAACGTTTCCACTGCAAAAGTGGTATATAGTATATTTGTTTTCACCTACAAGTATCCTATAGGCTGATGATCTGTGTTTGTATTCTCCCTTTTTCCAGGTATACTTGTGATGATGTTGACTTTAATCTGCGAGTGAACAGCTCTGGGCTGCTTATTTGTCGTTTTAATCGGTTTAGTGTCATGAAGAAGCAAATCACTGTGGGAGGTCACCGGTCTTTGCACATCAAACCCCAAAGTGAGTACAATGGCATATTCAGTGTTCTGGCAAGACGAATCTCAGTCTGCCAGAACTTTACAAAGACAAACATGAAGGCTTATTTATAATAGCTGGAAGAGGTACAACACAGCAAAGGTGGAACACTGCACACTGGAATACAGTGGCTTTTCTCGGGCCACACTCCCTGACACGTTTCGCCTCGCCCCCATAGCTTAATCATAGAGATTTAGACCTCTATGATTAGGCCATGTGGGTGGGACGAAACACATCAGTGGGCCATGGCCAGGATGAAGCCGCATCTCATTGCTCTTTATCCCTGGGTTGTGTTCTGGTGGGCGGTGTTCCATTTTGCTGTTTTGTACCACTACACAAGCCGGGATGAGCATTCTGAATGCCAGCACCTGATAGTGATGTGAGCCACTGGGAGATTCTGTTTTACAAGTTGCCTTACATAGGTCACAGCTGGGAGAGGTGTTAGCTTTAAGGATAGATTTCAAAATCCACACCTTTCCTCTGAAGCCTGATCCGCATTTGGATTGCGCTTCAGATGCAATTGACAGGCAGTGAGGATGCAATGTGATACTTCCTCTCTGCCTCCTGTTTTAACCCCATTTCTGCCAACAAACATTCTGCATGCAGTTGTGGGGCATTTGTGGAACTTCCTCCAATTGCTCCACCAAGCGTGAAGAGAGGCGCTTATGGGGATGAGTTATGGCCAGTGTGCTAAAATTCTGCAGTGATGCTTGCATTATCGGTAAAATTTAAGTGATCATCTGATCCTGAAACCTTTGGTAGAACTGTACAATGGTAGGAATATCTTTGGCTATCTTGTCATTTAAGCAGACAATTGTAAAATAACTGTGGGTATTAAATAATATTTTGCAATGGTAAACACTCAGTATTGCCCCCTAGCAAAGACCAGGAGGTCAAATCTTTAATTTGCCTTCAGAGGTTATGTTGAAAGTGGGCACTTTGGGAAAAGGATGTGAATGGCTACTCCTAAGGAAGGATAAAGGAAAAATGGTGCTCTGGGCAAGGTAGCAGCTTTTGCTCCTGCCACTCCATGATTCCTGGTTTACTGCAGAATAATATAGGCTGTATCTGGACAACCCTTGGGCCATAGGCTGCTGTCTAGGTTGCCTTGTGGTTGATCCAGCTCTGGCTAAACATATACTTTATTTAAAAGAAAACAAACTGTAGCGCTTTATGTTTTTCTGTTTTAAACCAGTTCAAACTGTGAACTGGTTTAAAACAGAAAATCATAAAGGTGTACAACTGGCATTCAAAAAATCAAGAATAAAACGTCTGCATTGGACTACACACTGTAAAGTCTTAAGATATCTATCAGACAAATGGGGAAATACTTGTGGGTGTGATGCCTTCTTTTTTTGCTTTGGCAAAGGTCAGCAATTCATCAACCGCAGCATCCACACAAGCCACTTTCAGAAGGTCCAGCCTCAGAACAGGAGATATAAAAAGCACAGCACAAGGCAATGTCAGCAACAAGGCATGTTTTATAAATATTAAATAAGCATCCGCTTGCTTGTACATTAACCACATGCCGCCCAGCCACTGTAGAAATACGTGTGTTTGCAAAACAGGTAGGGGGCGCACGCAAGGCGCGCCACCGTCCTACCTGTCCCGCCGATCACGGCCGCAGAAGTCGGTCACTGGGTCACAGCCAGTCATTACCGGCTGTGTCCCACCAATTAGTGGCAATCACTGACAGAGAGCAGGGCTGCAGTAGCTCTGCTTTCTGTCAGTTCCCTGTCAGCTCCTGACATGCTGAGCCGGAGAGAAGAGTTTTATCTCTCCCGATCAGCGTGTCCCCCGTGCAGTACAGACCCCTGCCCCCTAGTAAAACACTCCCCTCACACAGTTAACCCTTTCAGTAAATAAAAAAGTTAACCCCTTCCTCCCCAGTGCCATTTGTACAGTGTCAGTGTTTTTTTTTTTTGCACTGATCACTGTATTGGTGTCACTGGGGATGTCAGTGACCCCAAGTCAGTTTCCCCCCCCAGTGTCAGAATGTCCACCGCAGTCCCGCCATAAGTCGCTAATCGCCTCCATAAGTCACTGATCGCCGCCATAAGTTGCTGATCGCCGCCATTATTAGTATAAAAAAATTAAAAATCCGAGTATCTTTCCCGCCATTTGTAAATGCTATAACTTTCACGTCAACCAATTAATTTACGCGTATTGGGGTTTTTTTTTAGCAAAGACGTCGCAGAATGCACTTTGGCCGAAATTTATGACAAAATTTGAGTTGTAAATTTTTTTTACTTGACATGTTTTATAGCAAAAAGTCCAAAATATTGTTTTTTTTTCTCAAAATTGTCAGCCTTTTTTTTTTATAGTGCAAAAAATAAAAAACGTACAGGCAATCAAATATCACTGAAAGAAAGCTCTATTTGTGTGAAAAAAAGGACATACATTTCATTTATGTACCGTATTGCATGACCGTGCAATTGTTCGTTAAACTAGTACAGCGGTGTATAGCAAAAAAATGGCGTAAATTGCAGTATCTATACCATAGTTTGTAGACGCTATAACTTTCACACAAAGCAATCAATATACACTTATTGGGATTTTTTTTTACCAAAAACATGTAGCAGAATACATTTTGGCCTAAATTTATAACTAACTTTGAGTATACTATATATTTTTTATAGCTGAAAGTAAAAAATATCGTTTTTCTTCAAAATTCTTGGTCTTTTTTTGTTTATAGCATGAAAAATAAAAAGCGCACAGGTGATCAAATACCACCAAAAGAAAGCTCTATTTGTGTGAAAAAAGGACGTAAATTTAGTTTGGGTGCAGCATTGCATGACCGCGCAATTATCGGTTGAATTAGTGCAGCGCCGAGTAGCAAAAAGAGGCCTGGTCATTAAGGGGGGTAAATCCTCAGGAGGGCAAGTGGTTAAAGAGTATCAGCTACAGCAAGAAGCGGAATCATCAGCTCACAGGGTGCACCATAGGGATAGGTAAAAGAAGAAAACATCCAGGATCCACGGAACAGCTGATGCAGAACAAACTCAACTCAAAGCCGCTATATGCAGGCAGCCAGCAAAGCAGCACAAGCTGCACTCTGGACCAGAGGTGGGAATGTTTGAGAAAGGGACTGGATGCCTGGAAACGGATTGCCGTTTTTTCCTTACACCGCTGACAACCTAGTATAATTGTGCCTTTCACCCGCAACCTTCCAACTCCGGACAGCTTGTGCTGCTTTGCCGACTGCCTGCATATACCGGCTTTGAGCCGAGGCTATGCTGCAGTAGCTGTCCGTGAATCCTGGATCTTTCCTCCTTTTACTTGTCCTTATATTGTATCCTGTGAGCTGACCACTCCGGTTTCTTGCTGTGGCTGAAATTCTAATGTACATGTAAGTGGTTGCTTATTTTATATTTAAAAAAGTATGCCTAGTTGCTGACATCGCCCTGCACTCTGCTGTTTTGATCTACACATATACTTTTTTTTTTCCTGTTTATCAAAAAGTGTTGTTTTAGTCCAGCACATGATATGGTGCTGAGTGGTAATCATGGCAACATAATGCAGATGCTGGAATATTGATCATCCTGAAATGGCAGATATAATACACTGTTACCTTTTTCTACGTTTTCATCATTCTACCTTCTACCAGTTCTGAAACTGTTCCTGTTAGTGTGTTAGCTTGACAATGAATCTTGATTTCTTTGTTTATCCTCCAGGCTCTCGATTCATCAATGTCAGTCTCAACAGCTCACTACATCTGTGCTCCTGACAGCAACCATACCGTCTTGGCTGCACCGGCTCATCTACTTCTGGAGAAATTCCTCCAATTTCACAGCCAGCAATTCTTCCCTCTGTCAGTGACTGACTCCAGCCACCCGGTTCTGGTGGTAGATTGCTACCTGAACCTTGGCCCTCAGGTACATAGATTTTTAACTTTAATATTTGCATATGCTTTTCCATGATCTGCTTCCAAACTCTTCTCCCCGATATCTCTTGTATGAACTGGATTACGTCTTGCCAAAACCCCTGTATTTTTGGACATTCCCACCAAATATGTGCCATTGTTCCCTTAGATCCACATCCCCTCCAACATAATGGTGAAAATTCTGCTCGTTGTTTATGTACAACACTTGGTGTCAAATACCACCTCGTTAAACATATATAATATAATTCATTTCAACCGTATTCATGTTATCCACCCTTTGTATTAATGGTTCATTCATTTTTGTTCCCGGTTCCCTTTCCCATTTCTCTAAGAACAGAGGAGGACCAGCCCCCCGCAATTTGACATGAATCTTATGTATCCCAGAAGTAACATGTTTTGGCGTTGTACTGGAGCCTAACATCTGCTCTCTAGTTTGAAAGTCAGTTTTTGGTCTGTACCAAAATGCATGAGGCTGCAATATACTGGCTAGTTCGAATTACAGACATCACATATATTAAAAATGAGATGTTTGTCAAACATTTTATCAATATTGACTCAACACATAAAAGACTGCTTTTACTGTGGTTAGACAAGGACACTTTGGGCAACATACAGTATATTGTTTTCTTAATATATTTCTTTGGCAGATTATTATTATTATACAGTATTTATAAAGCGCCAACAGTTCGCTCAGCGCTGTACATTACAATGGGAGACAATACATGCGACAGTACAATAACAATACAATGCGATACAAGAGGGGTTCGAGGGTCCTGCTTTTTCGAGCTTACAATCTAGGAGGGAGGGGATAGTGGTACAGGAGGAGATAGCTGTGGGGGATGGAGTGGTGGGAGGAGTGGAGATTAGGAATTAAAATAGATTTTAAAATATTTAAATATATTTTTAGTCAGGTAATTATAACATTTTGCAGACGTATATGTCATATTTACATGTTAACCAGGCTAATCCTAGCTCAGTAGCTCAAGCTCTAATTACAGACACAGTTGAATTAGTTACTCTCCACTACTCCTCCTTATTCCTCTCTACTTGATGTGTAGGGTTTGAAGAGAAAAACAGTTTGAAAGGAAGCATTTTGAACTGTCAGATGTATAGCTTACATGACTTAGCAATGTGTGTATGCTAATACAATATTAACTTAAAGTGCACTACATGGGCAACAATGAGATGACCCCCAAAACAGGAATGGTTTTACAGGTGGAGGCCACTGACATTTTTTTTCATACTCATCTTTTCTGACTATTTTTCACTAATTATGCATTTGGCTAGGGTTGGTGTTACTACTGGTAGCATGAGGTGATTCCTGAACCCTACAGAGGTTGCACAGGCAGTACAACTCCTCCTGGATGGCAAATCAATACGTGCCATTGCCAGAAGGTTTGCTGTGTCTCCCAGCATAGTCTCAGGAGCATGGAGGAGATTCCAGGAGACAGGCAGCTACTCTAGGAGAACTGGACAGGGCTGTAGAAGGTCCTAAATTCATCAGCAGGACCACTATCTGCTCCTTTGTGCAAGGAGGAACAGGATGAGCACTGCCAGAGCCCTACAAAATGACTTCCAGCAGCCCACTGGTGTGGATATTTCTGACCAAACAATCTGAAACAGACTTCATGAGGGTGGCCTGAGGGCCCAACATCCTCTAGTGGGCCCAGTGCTCACTGCCCGGCACCATAGAGCTCGATTGGCATTTGCCATTGAACACCAGATTTGGCAGGTCTGCCACTGACGCCCTGCGCTTTTCACAGATGAGAGCAGGTTCACCCTGAGCACATGTGACAAACGTGAAAGGGTCTGGAGAAGCCGTGGAGAACGTTATGCTGCCTGTAACATCGTTCAGCATGACCATTTTGGTGGTGGGTCAGTGATGGTCTGGGTAGGCATATCCAGGAGGGACGCACAGACCTCTGCATGCCAAACAATGGTACCCTGACTTCCATTAGGTATTGGGATGAAATCGTTGGACCCATTGTCAGACCTTACGCTGGTGCAGTGGGTCCTTGGTTCCTCCAGGAGCACGACAATACCTGGCCTCATGTGGCGAGAGTATGCAGGCAGTTCCAGGAGGATGAAGGAATTGATACCATTGAATGACCCCCATGCTCGCCTGACCTAAATCCAATAGAACCCCTTTGGGATATTGTGTTTCGGTCCATCTGACGCTGCCAGGTTGCACCTCAGACTGCCCAGGAGCTCAGTGACGTCCTGGTCCAGATCTGGGAGGAAATACCCCAGGACACCATTCGTCGTCTCATTAGGAGCATGCCCCAACATTGTCAGGCATGCATACAAGCACGTGGGGGCCATATAAACTATTGAGTACCATTCTGAGTTGTTGCAATGACATTTCAGAAAAATAGACTAGCCTACTGCATCATTTTTTCACTTTGATTTTCGGGGTGGGTTTGAATTCAGTCCTCTGTAGGTTGATAATTTTAATTTCCATCAAACAATAGGGCATCCTTACGTTCCTAACACTTTACCCAGTCCATATCAGTATAGATATCCAGCATGAGATTTTTCCCAATTGAGATCTGATGTGTTTTCAAAGTGTTCCTTTCATTTTTTGAGCAGTGTATATTGTATGTCAGGTTATGAGTTCTTAGATTTGGTGGCAGCAGCAGTTTTGTCTTTTTATTGTTACTTGCCAATGCGGCAGGTAACACATTTCTTGTCTTAGGGTGACAACAGTCACTCACTGTACTGAAGGAGCAGTGTTGTGGCCCTAGGACAGCAAGGGGTTTATTTACTAAAGCTGGAGAGTCCAAAATCAGACTCCCTTCTGCATAGAAACCAATCAGCTTCCAGGTTTCATTGCCAAAGCTTCATTGAACAAGCTGAAGTTAGAAGCTGATTGGTTTCTATGCAGAAGGGAGTCTGATTTGGACTCTCCAGCTTTAGTAAATAAACCCCCAAGTGTCTGTTAGGACTAGGGTTTACATTGGTAAATAGTGAAAACTCACTAAACTAATTCCGTAGTTGTGCTGATTGCTTCCATAGAAAGAATGAAATAAATGAATGAAATAAAACATTGCAGGAACCCCTTATTCTTACACGGTTTTGTATTTATTTGGTCATAGTTACATAATACAGCAGTTCAGTCTGTACTTTACACCCATATCAGTCTGAATCCAAGCGATGCCTAAGTTACAGACCAAAATGGTAAATTTGTTCTATGTAAATTGATGACTGCAACTTTAAAAAAGAAAGGGACTGCAGTGTTCAATAATTTGTGCTGTCTGTAAATGGCAGCATGTGAGGTTTTCCGATGTAGCATTGATCTCAAAGGATTTGAACAGGTGGGAGAGCTGTTTATTCAATAATGCCAATTGTTATTAACTACAGCCGTGCAGAGTGAGATTACATTTCCCAGCAAGATGTTGGGATATATGATGTGTATACATGCTGTGCACAAACAGAAATTCAGATTTCTTAGAAAACAGAAGTGAATGTATGAAGTGTTCATACACTAGATAATCCTACAACCAGATTTCTATATCACTCCTTTATAATCTTAAAGTGATTGTAAACCTTCGGTTTTTTTATTAAAACAATAAATATGTCATACTTATCTGCTCTGTGTAATGGGTTTGCACAAAGCAGCCCCAATCCTCCTCTTCTCAGGTCCCCCGGCGCCACTTCTGAATCTTCCTTTTCATTACATGCCCCATACATAAGTGCCCCCTTCTTATGGGGGCAGTCATGCAGGCTTGCTCCAACACCCCGCTGTCTGTGTCCATGGACAAAGACAGCACAGCACCGCCCAATCCCCCGCTCCCTCTTTACAGAGTTTGATTGGCAGCAGAAGGGGCCAATGGCTCCAGCTGCTATCGATTTGTCCTGTGAGGAGGGACAGTGCTGGGAGAGCCACTGCTCTCATGCACAGTACTGGATCATGATGGGGAAGTATAAAGGGGATCCCAGACACAGAAGGTTTTTTTTACCTTAATGCATAGAATACAGGTAAAGGTAAAAAATGAATTAACTTTAATGTGGTTGTAAAGGCAGAATGTTTTTTACCCTAATGCATTCTATGCATTAAGGTAAAAAAAAAACCTTCTAGATACAGCCCCCCCCGTTATACTTACCTGAGGCTGATCTCAATCGAGTGATGTGCATGACAGCAGCAGCTCTGTCAGCTCTCTCTCTCCTCATTGGACAGAGATGCAGCAGTAGTGGGAGCAGTTGGCTCCTACTGCTGACAGTTTTAGCAACTTTTTTAGAAAGAGTGGGGTGCGGGGCCGAGCCGTGCTCTGTGTGTTTATAGAGCAAGCATGCATGAGTGTCCCCATGGCAAGTGGCTTGCTGGGGGGCACCCGTCAGGAGGGAAGGGGCCAGGAGCATCGGCAGAGGGAACAGAGAAGAGGAGGATCTGGGATGCTCTGTGCAAAACCATTACACAGAGCAGGTAAGGTTTACCTTTAGTATCACTTTAATGGGTGTCCATCATCTTGAAAGATAGTTATAACTTGCCTGCAACTCATTATGGGCATATTACTGTGACTATTAGACTGTGTTTGAGGAAATGTAATGAATTTGGATTCAATCACAGGAATAAATCAATATTTTTTTTTTTTAAATCAAGTTTTATGTTACCAGTGACTTATATGTAACTTTTTTTTTTTTTAATTTCAGATTACAGTGTGCTACGTCAGCTCACGGCCCCACTCCGTCAATGTAAACTGCACAGGGGTAACATTTAGTGGACTCTTGCTCCACCTGTGCGATTCCTTTGTTGTAGCCAGTTTCTTGAAAAATTTCCAATTTTTGAAAGGTAAGTGATCCCTTATAGTTAGTCAATCTAATTTTACATAGAGTGAGGCACTTTAAAACATTCATGTTATATCTTTATTGTTGACCAGCTGTTTGGTTAAGGAGCAGTTTTACAGTCTGGTAAATAAGAAATACTGCAATTAAATGTTTTGTATTTTATTTTTAGGCAGCATTTGAAGCTTTAAGTTTCTTTTTACATGACTTCTCCTAGTTTATTAGAGTCTGCTTGAAAAAAAAAACCCAAAACTTTTTGTTTACAGACCTCAATAGCTAACAATGAAATTTACACACAACTGAATAAGCTATTAGAGCAATGACTGAATGCAGTGACATTTCCCTTTTTGGTGTGCTTAGCCATGTTGCTACAAGTGCCATCTTGATATGCATACCATGTTTTTATATATATATATATATATATTATATATATATATATATATATTTATACGCATACATACATATATATATATATATATATACATACATACACACTGTTAGAAGCTTTCCTTAACCTAATATCTAATATCTTCTTATTAACAGTACTAACATAAGTATGAATGAGTTGGATCTTAATAGAATAATTGAGTTATTATATTTTATATTTGTTCTAGATTGGGAAAAGTAAGTAATTAGACTTCATAGTCTGTGAATATACATATGAACATACATCTTGGGTTTTTCCTTTACATTCAAGCCACATATGAGAGCAATTAGCTATACCTTCCCCCATCCTCCCCCATCTATGTAAGAGATAAAGTTACACTCAGACTTTGAGAGAAGTAGATTGGATGTTTTGTTTTAATACCTCTGTTGGTGTCAATTATCTTAGTGGGACTACAAGAGAATACCAACCCACTTTTAGGAGATGGTGGGGGCTGGATTGCTCTTTCAAGAGCAGAACAAAGGTTTGAGTTTCACTCACTCTATATAGAAGCCTTTATGCGACAGACATACACACACATATACATATATACAATCTTATTATCAAGAACTTAACTATATTTTTTGGACATTATTTAAACATTCTGTATGCCAATATTTTATTTCTAATTTTATGCAACATTATTATTATTAAATCATCTTTTTGAGTTTATGCAAGAAATGGAAGGACTTTCTATCTGAACATTTCTCATCAATACAAGTTAATAAATTATCGAGACAATACGATATTTTACACACACACATACCCGCACCTAAATGGGAAATGTCACTGCATTCAGTCATTGCTCTCATAGCTTATTGAGCTGTGTGTGTAAATTTTATCGTGAGCTATATACTGTGTGTATATATGTATGTATGTATGTATATATATACAGTCAGGTCCATAATATTGGGACATCGACACAATTATAACATTTTTGGCTCTATACACCACCACAATGGATTTGAAATGAAACAAACAAGATGTGCTTTAACTGCAGACTGTCAGCTTTAATTTGAGGGTATTTACATCCAAATCAGGTGAACGGTGTAGGAATTACAACAGTTTGCATATGTGCCTCCCACTTCTTAAGGGACCAAAAGTAATGGGACAATTGGCTTCTCAGCTGTTCCATGGCCAGGTGTGTGTTATTCCCTCATTATCCCAATTACAATGAGTAGATAAAAGGTCCAGAGTTCATTTCAAGTGTGCTATTTGCATTTGGAATCTGTTGCTCTCAACTCTCAAGATGAGATCCAAAGAGCTGTCACTATCAGTGAAGCAAGCCATCATTAGGCTGAAAAAACTAAACAAACCCATCAGAGAGATAGCAAAAACATTAGGCGTGGCCAAAATAACTGTTTGGAACATTCTTAAAAAGAAGGAACGCACCAGTGAGCTCAGCACACCAAAAGACCCGGAAGACCACGGAAAACAACTGTGGTGGATGACCGAAGAATTCTTTCCCTGGTGAAGAAAACACCCTTTACAACAGTTGGCCAGATCAAGAACACTCTCCAGGAGGTAGGTGTATGTGTGTCAAAGTCACCAATCAAGAGAAGACTTCACCAGAGTGAATACAGAGGGTTCATCACAAGATGTAAGCCATTGGTGAGCCTCAAAAACAGGAAGGCCAGATTAGAGTTTGCCAAACGACATCTAAAAAAGCCTTCACAGTTCTGGAACAACATCCTATGGACAGATGAGACCAAGATCAACTTGTACCAGAGTGATGGGAAGAGAAGAGTATGGAGAAGGAAAGGAACTGCTCATGATCCTAAGCATACCACCTCATCAGTGAAGCATGGTGGTGGTAGTGTCATGGCGTGGGCATGTATGGCTGCCAATGGAACTGGTTCTCTTGTATTTATTGATGATGTGACTGCTGACAAAAGCAGCAGGATGAAGTCTGAAGTGTTTCGGGCATTATCTGCTCATATTCAGCCAAATGCTTCAGAACTCATTGGACGCCGCTTCACAGTGCAGATGGACAATGACCCAAAGCATACTACAAAAGCAACCAAAGAGTTTTTTAAGGGAAGGAAGTGGAATGTTATGCAATGGTCAAGTCAATCACCTGACCTGAATCCGATTGAGCATGCATTTCACTTGCTGAAGACAAAACTGAAGGGAAAATGCCCCAAGAACAAGCAGGAACTGAAGACAGTTGCAGTAGAGGCCTGGCAGAGCATCACCAGGGATGAAACCCAGCGCCTGGTGATGTCTATGCGTTCCAGACTTCAGGCTGTAATTGACTGCAAAGGATTTTCAACCAAGTAATACAAAGTGAAAGTTTGATTTATGATTATTATTCTGTCCCATTACTTTTGGTCCCTTAATAAGCGGGAGGCACATATGCAAACTGTTGTAATTCCTACACCGTTCACCTGATTTGGATGTAAATTACTCTCAAATTAAAGCTGACAGTCTGCAGTTAAAGCACATCTTGTTCGTTTCATTTCAAATCCATTGTGGTGGTGTATAGAGCCAAAAATGTTAGAACTGTGTTGATGTCCCAATATTTATGGACCTGACTATATATATATATATACACATTTATTTATTTATTTCAGGTACTTATATAGTGCCGTCAATTTACGCAGCGCTTTACATATATATTGTACATTCACATCAGTCCCTAACCCTCAAGGGGCGTACAATCTAAAGTCCCTAACTTACATCCATACATACACATACTAGGAACAATTTTGACAGGATCCAATATACCTACCAGCATGTCTTTGGAGTGTGGGAGGAAACTGGAGTACCCAGAGGAAACCTACGCAGGCACAGGGAGAACATGCAGACTCCAGGCAGGTGGTGCCATTGCTGGGATGTGAACCAATGATCCTAGTACTGCCAGGCGGAAGTGCTAACCACTTAGCCACTGTGCTGCCCAATATACACACAGTATATAGCTCACGATGCAATTTACACACAACTGAATAAGCTATTAGGGCAATGACTGAATGCAGTGACATTTTAGGTGTGGTTAGCCATGTTGCTACAAGTGTTATGTTGCTACGGGTGCCATCTTGACATGCATACCATGTTTACTATATATAGTACACACACACAGAGTATATATTTATTACACAGTAAATATATATATATATATATACTGTATATATATCTGCAAGGATTGTCATTAGTTGATAGGTGCCATCTTCCTCACCTACCCCTGCACTTTGATACAGACAGCAGGAACATATAAAAATGGGTGCCCTTCTTATTTTTCAATAGGTAATTAAGTGTACAATGTACCAACGACTAGAATCTATTTGGCAATATGTAACAGTCAGTCAATAGGCAAACAGAATGTAACCTTACCTGCAGGTGAGAAATAGCTGCCAAATGGTGGTAGAGAGAAAAGCTTATTCCTGTTCAGCCCTCCGCTATGTCTTGTGTATGATTTAGAGGATTTTACATATTAGCACTGAAGAGGCCTTATCAGTAGAGAAGTAAGCAGTCCTCAGACACTGCTGCTCCTAGATTCAGACCTATTGTACCTGTTTATAGTTCTGACCTTTTTTCATACACTTTATAAACATTTCTTTCCGTATTGAATTTGCCAGAAAGGCAAAGTTTGGCCTCGTGGACATCCAGTACAACTTTTCTAGAGGTGTACTTACTTTTTACATGTTTTTTTTCAGATGCCATGCTGTGTGTTGTGTGTGTCAGGACCGCAGCTCCCTTCGCCAAACAGTAGTTAGGTTAGAACTGGAGGATGAGTGGCAGTTCCGTCTACGGGACGAGTTCCAAACAGCCAATGCCAAGGAAGACAAACCCTTGTTCATCCTGACTGGGCGCCATGTTTAACACAAGTGGACGTTAACTAAATGGTACTGGGGCAGGACATGCTCTATGCTCTCTATGGCGTCTAAAACGACTGGTCTTTTTTCTGTTGCACTGAAGAAACGCTGTGTTGAAACAAGCAACAAAACCATGCAAAACAAATGTTAAACAGTGGACACAAACACTTATGACTTTTCCCATTGATACTTAGTATTTAATAAGTATTTGTATATATTTGAAGCACTGAGAAATAGGGGATTTTGTACCTTTATTTTTCTGAAAATGTAAATGTTTTATTTTTATTGTGTCAATATGTATTGTTAGAGTATTTTAATTTTTATTGACATGTATGTTACAATGTAGCAAGAGGGAATCAGCTGATATAAAGGCAGCTAGTGAACTGGCACTAGTTTGCCACGACCAGCCAAACTGCATACACTGGTACCCATACCACCCATCGTGTTAGAGACATATACTGAACAGAAGATGTGCCTCCTGCACTGGAATGCAGCTGTGTTTACACCTAGCTTTATTTTGTAAGTGTCTTTATTAAGATCATTCATCCCTTTGGTGCCTCCATGAATCTAACTTTCTATAAACAGAACCATACGCCTGTTTATATTTGGCTGCATTTACAGTCAGTATAGGCACCTGCAGTTACCATAGAGATTAATGTGCACCTTTAGTTTTGCTGGAAATGATATGCAGAGTAACAAAGGATGGTAGATGCTGCTTTCTTTTTCTGAGTTATAAGGCATATTTAACAGATTTATGTCAAAACCTGCCTTCAGCACCATGACTCATGTCCCTCTTCTCATATACAACTGAAATGAGGCCGTGGAAGGGTTTGGTGTCCCATCGTGAGGTTCTGAGTTACTGATTGACAGTGAAGCCTGGCATTTTAGAACTCTGATCTGCTTGTGCTGTTATGGTAACAGCCATACCGTACGGGGGCACACAAGGATGGAGTATGTCTGAGAGAAACACAGAGGCTGTCTATGCTGAGCTCTCCTTCTAAAAATGCTAGTTGCCTGGCTGTCCTGCTCAGTTCTGCAGCATAATAGTCTTCCTATGCCTTCATGGTTGATTGACAGCTGCTCAATGTGAGATTATGGCTTCCTGTAAATGTAAGTGCCCCTTGGCCTGTCAGAATTAGTAGGAAAATAGCATCTACTGTCAAGATCAACAGGAAATACACAATTTTATAGGAGGAACCATCTGCAGGTGATGGGCTGCATTATATAGTACATTTCCATTTTAATATTCCCATGGTTATCCCAATCCTGAACATATATACAGATCAAACTCCTTCCTTTCTTGATCTGCATACTTCAAAGTCAGTTATTAAGAAAGCATTAAAGCCAGAGGGTGAGAATAACAGCTAAGTAACTAGTTTTTTTTTCTTTAAAAAAGTGGCAAATTATGGCAGTCCCTGTGTTTCTACTAGACAGGTTCATTTCCAAAGCAGAACACCTTTTGAATGCACCAAAACCTTCATTATAGGAAGTACCGTACTTCTACATTTTTCCTTTACAGGATTACTACCGATGGGCGCAAGTGTGATAATAACAATTCTTGTGTCTACAGTAGTTATAATTATTTTTTCAAGTTTGCGCTAAAGAAATTACATTTGGAAGGTGAATGGTTACTATAAGGCAGAAGAAATGTTGTTGTTAGCACCCTTTTAATACATAAGCCCAAACATTACAGAAGAGTTTGTGATAGTTCATTTATATGCTGGAGTTTGGTGGACCAAGTCACTCACATCTCACATATGTCTTGTATTTCTTGAGTTCTCCATTGGCAAGATCTCCTCGCCCTGACTTTGTACCCAACAGGTTTTAAAGCACTCCTCCTGCTGAATTCTGCATAATATAAACTACATTGGAAGTACAACAGGAAAAGTGGAAGCCCATTATAATGGTTCAGCAGGTCTGCAGAGCCTGGAAGTCAGCTACGGAGATCCCACCGCCAGAGTCTCAGAGGGATATACGAAACAGTCGGCTAGTTTAAATTTCTGGCACCTACTAAACTGTAAAATATCAGTTCTGGGTGGACTAACTTGTTGTTGCATAAATCTAGCTTTACACTGCCCAGTGGCTATTTCTATAAATGGCTAGAGACTCAAGGTAACATGAGAAGAGTCTCGTCTAGCTTCTGGCCTCTCCTGCTCCTGTGAGCAATGGTTAACTGGAAAACAAGGTTATAGAAGTCCTGCACTATTTGCTTGCTTGCAGTGTTATGTATGTGCCAAGAAGGCATACGTAGCTGGGCTGCTTAGTGCTATGTGCAGGAAGTGGCACTGTAGATGTGATGAGCAGAGGGGTCTATGCACCCACTGCCCTCCACATGGTATGAATATAAAAGATCTGTGGCTGTGTAGCTGAAGGGCAATTATAAAAACAGAACAGCCTTTGTTCTTATGAAAATTTTGTTTGCCTAGTTAGAAAACATTAATGCCAACTTAGCTTTAGCTGGTTATTTGGTCAGTGTATGTAAAGTGCAGAGCATATAGGTGAAATGTCATCTTTTCTTGATCAACATCTGCAATGAAGGGATTGCAGGTCAGAAGCAAGACAGTCAGAATCCTAATGGCTCCACCAAGTGTTTCCTGCATGGCGAATACAGGCAGCTTTGAATATCCAGTTGGGTTGATTTACCAAAACTGGAGAATGCAGAATCTGGTGCAACTCTGCATAGAAAACAATCAGCTTTGAGGTTTTATCATCAAAGCTTATTTGAACGTGCTGAAGTTAGAAGCTGATTGGCTACCATGCACAGCTGCAGCAGATTTTGCACTCTCTAGTTTTAATAAATCAACCCCAGAATGTGCTGAAGGGTGACTATCTGTAAATAGTCTGCAGTGGGTATGAGTTTGGGTTTTGGCTTCAAGTTCCAAACTCAAAAGGCAGGTTTCATTCCCAGACCTATGAGCTACGAGCAGTGGATTCCCTTGTCTCCAACTTCACATACACAAAAGAACATGGATGTTGGTGTCATCATTGATCTAATATGGGCACATGACCATATTAGGTCAGTGACATTATGAACATCCCTGCCGTTTTGTGTATGGGTAGGGAATCACCCATCCCCAGATCACTGGCCCAGAAGCTGCCTTCTGGTTCAAACTGAACTCAAGCTCACCCTTAATATGTTATACCCAGGGGCGGACTAACCATTTGGAAACTCGGACACTGATCGAGGGCCCAAGGTCAGTAGGGGGCCCCATAAGATACCCCTGGTACCTTTTTCATAGGCTTTTTTGAGTTTGGGCAAGGACACAGGGGCCCCATGATCCCTATTGCCCAGGGGCCCCATGAGTTGTCAGTCTGTCCCTGGTTATACCAACAATACTGTAAAAGCAGCCTGTCTCAGACTTCTAGTAAGCAATACATTCAGATATTTGCTATGGTTCCTGAAACCAGCTTCTTCTCACCATGGAGTATGTATTTGGTAAACTCCCTATTGGCTGCCACCACTGTGGTTGCATTGTAAGGGGGACACACGTTAAATCGTTTAGAAGCAGAGGTCAGACATAATTGTACGTTATAATACAATTTTGTTAACAGTGTCCACTGCTGTATGGGGTTCTTCTAGTGGAGTCTAAAATATTTTGTTTACAGTGCCATAGTGTACAAAGCTAAAATATATTGGTAGCTTTGAAAGTGAAATCCCGTTGTAGTTTGTTTTTGCTTTACTTAATATCCATCAGTATTTCTTTAGATCTTACCATAAGTCACTCTTCTGGTCATCAGAGTGGTAAAAGATGACTGGGAGATCTTGTTTACACAGTTCCTTAAGCTAGAAAACTACTTCATGGATTTTTATTTTGCATGTTAATCTTAAAATTATTTTTATTTCCTGTAAATAGCATATGTGCAGTTTGTTTTGGTCTTGTAATGATTTGTCTAATTTAATATGTTCATTTTTAAATAAATGTATATAATGTACCTAGAGTCATTGTATTCCTTTATCTATCTAAGAGCTGGGGACCTGCAGAATCTTCAAGCTCATGGCTGCTATTGCCATGGTTAGCTTATTTTAACCATGAATTGCCATAATGTGCAGGACACATCTTTGGCAGTAAAAAGGGTTAAAAGCTCTGCAAATACAGAAAAAAATGCCTCATGAGCCCTTCAAAAATCCAGCTACCTTCTAAATTGTTGTTGTTAACTGGTATTACTGCCTCAGCCATACTGATTTCTCAAGCAAAGTCTTCAGCCCTGCATACATTTTCCTCTGCTAGATGATAGAACTTCCCCTCTCCCTGCCCCTCTCTGTGGGATGAAATAATTTTTTTTCCCAGCAACAAAAAATGCTGCTGCGCTGATATCCAATTTTATATGCAGGGGCATATTTGCCACAAGGCAAACAAGGCATTTGCCTAGGGCAGCATTTTTTTAGGGGGGTAGCACTGCCCCTGGAAGAAGGGACATATGCGGCATGTGTCAGTGGAAGGGTCTCTCGGGTGGGGGGCTGGTGTTGGTCGGTGTCAGGCTCTCTCCACCAGGCGGAGGGGAGCATCTGATACCCTGAGGATGTCACGTGATAACGTGACGTAACGCGTCGGTACGCGAGGAGGACGTTCCGGGTGCGCGGTGACGTCACTTCCGGCGTGGGGGCCATATTGGAACACCTTTTTAGATACCCATGGAGTACACCTCTAACATGAGGTGATACGAAGCTGTACACAAGAAGGAGTTACATGTTAGTGGGCAACCTTAATTATATTTGATTAAATAAAACGGATTACACTATGTTCGCTTTTTGTGTCTATCTATGATCCGGGAGAATATTACTATACTGTATGGAGGCTTGGAATAAGGAGCGTTTTTTACCTTGAGGGGAGCCTGTGATGAATCTGCCCTTATCAGGATTGCTGTGATCTTTTGAGCGAGCTGACCCTGTAGGGTCGAGCATATGAGGTGAGGGGCCACTTAGGCCACTGGAGGATTGAACACGAATCTTACACAGTCACTTGCATGATCATCGAATGGAAGCACTCTCATCAGATTGTATATAGTGTATATATATATGCACTGTGTGTGGACTGTATTTTTAAGTTTATATTAAGTGTTGAGAGTCACTGGGAAAAAATGTTTTATGAATCACGATTGGAGCATTTATCACTTGCACTTGCTATATTCCCTTAGTGGGAAGTCAGGTGTTGCACAATTTTTGTATGTTTTCCCTTTTATCTGAGTATTTCTAAGGGGATTGAGTGTGTCACTACACTGTTTATTATTATTATTTTCAGATATATTGTATATTTATTTAGCGCTGCACTTTTTTGTATTAATTAGTCACTTCACCTAATAGGTAATAAGGTTAGTGTCAGCAGCTTTTTTAGGGTTAGGGCTCTATTTCAAGCGCAAGAGGATTCTCTTTACATCTGATTTTTATGTTGCCTAGGACAGCTCAAAGCCTAAATACACCACTGATTTTATGCCCATCTTAGTCAATACAGTGACATTTCACTTGGCAAAGAAATACCCACAGCAGTTCAAATGCAATCTATCCAAAACTGAACTCATAATATTTCCTCTTCCTCTGTCACGATTGATGGCACAACTATCAGTTCATCCCCACATGCCAAGGTGTTAGGATTAACTCTGGACTCTGAACTCTCCTTTCAGCCCTACATTCAATCACTGTTCAAATCATGCTGCCTCAACCTCTACAACATAGAATACGCCCTTTCTTAAAGAGGTACCTAATCTAAAGAAAACATTTATTATATTGCAGTTTACCAATTCTTGGATGTGATGGTTGATTAGTTTTCTGTTTTAGGCTTTTCTTCCCTTATTTTCACCTGGTGATCCAGTCAGTGGTTCTGTTGTTATTTCAACAGAACAAACTGTCCTGCAAATGTAGCAGTTAAGAGTGTTGAGACAAACTGTACCAATGACAGGGGTGCTTACAATGATCAGCTTTTATTTATTCATGTAAAACATTTATGGCAAGAGAAAAACTGTTTGCTATAACTGTCTCTGTAACTGCAGTGTGAGCTTGAGTTCAGCTTCTATTTGCTAGTGTATCTAAATCTGCTAGTATATCTAACAACCTTCTCCCCCCAGACCGATAATGCTGCTGTCCAAAGGTGCCCCTGTGCTCCTTCATCCAGAGTGGGAACTCTCCAACACAGGAAGTGTGTTACTGGAAAACAGAGGGAAAAAAGCCTAAAAAGAAAAATGAATGCAGCCAACACATCAAAGGGTTGGTTAGCTGCAATACAATACATTTTGGTTTTGGGTTTAATGTTGCTTTAATCAACAACACCACAACGCTTCTAACTCATTCCCTGGCTCACCTAGACAACTGCAACTCCCTCCTCATTGGCTTACCTTTACATAGGTCCCTTCAGACCATCATCAATGTTGCTGCCAGACCCATCCACCTTACCAAACGTCCAGTGTCTGCTATCATTCTCTGATGATCCCTCCACTGGATTCCGCTTGCCCAATGAATACAATTCCAAATACTAACAACTTACAAAGCCATCTACAACTTTGCCCCCAACTACATCACTAACTTTATCTCAAAATACCAATCACACTGGTCTCTTTGGTCCTCACAAGATGTCCTGTTCCCTAGCTCTCTCCTCACCCCATCCCATGCTCACCTCCAGGACTTCTCCAGAGCCTCTTCCTTCCTCTGGAACTCCTTAACCCAATATGTCTGACTATTTCCTACTCTGTCTTTAGAGAAACCTATCTTGTTTCTAACTAATACACTGTCTTTAATTGTATTGTAAATGTACTGTATGCCTTTATTTTGTAAAGAGCGGAGCTGTTGGCATGATATAAATCTTGTTAATAATAACAAAAAAATACCCAATCACGAGCAAGGAAATAAGAGAACAGCATTTTTTCTTGCGCGTGATTGGATGATGGAAGTCAGTAGAGCTTCACCTCATTTACTAAACTCTGGGGAAGATTCCCTTGCACAGTGCAACTTCTCTTGCAAAGTCAAGAATCATCTTAACAAATTAACCCCACTATGTGCAAGCAAAGGGCTCTTGGTGATGTAGACTTGGGAGCATGCCTAGCTCAGACTACGAACTGATCTCTTCTCCCAGCATCTGCCTTTTTTTTGCAAATCTGGTGATGATGTCACAGGGAGTACATACAGTTAATCTGGTTAAAAAAAAAGACATCCAGTCCAACCAACAGAAAACACACAAAATAGAAAACCTCCATATACGCTATCCTATACACTCAGTTGATTCAGAGGAAGGCAAAAAACCCCAATAAAGCATGATCCAATTTGTCCCAGCAGGGGAAAAAAAAATTCCTTCCTGATCCCCCAAGGGGCAATTGGATATTCCCTGGATCAACTTTACCTATTAATATTAGCATCCAGCTATAATATGCGCATTTAGGAAAGAATCCAGGCCTTTTTTTTTTTAAACTGTCTACTGAGATGGCCAGAACCAACTCTTGCGGGAGTCTATTCCACATTTTCACAGCTCTCACTGTGAAGAAGCCTTTCCATAATTGGAGATTAAATCATTTTTCCTCCAGATGTAAAGAGTGACCTCTTGACCTCTGTGATGACCTTAAGGTGAATAACTCTACACTGAGTTCACTATATGGACCACGTATATATTATAAAAGTTGATCATATCCCCCCTTAATCTTTTCTCAAGAGAGAATAAATTCAGTTCCTCTAATCTTTCCTAATAGCTGAGCTCCTCCATGCCTCGTATCAGTTTGGTTGCCCTTCTCTGCACTTTCTCCAGTTGCCCGATATCCTTTTTGTAAACTGGTACCCAAAACTGAACTGCATATTCCAGATGAGGTGTTACTAATGATTTGTACAGGGGTAAAATGATATCTCTCTCTCTGGAGTCTATACCGCTTTTAATACAAGAGAGGATTTTGCTCACTTTGGAAACCGCAGCTTGGCATTGCATGGTAAGCCTATGATCTACCAGAACTCCCAGATCCTTCTCCACCATTGATTCCCCCAGTTGTACTCCCCCCTAGTATGTATGATGCATGCATATTCTTAGCCCCCAAGTGCATAACCTTACATTTATCAACATTAAACCTCATTTGCCAAATAGTTGCCCAATTAACAGTGCATTGAGGTTGGCTTGTAAGTTGGAGACATCCTGTAAGGACGTTATTCCACTGCACAGCTTGGTGTCATCTGCAAACACTAAAATGGCAATTTTAATTCCAAACGCTATATCATTTATAAATATATTAAGAAGTAAAAGGTCCCAACCCTGAACCTTGGGGTACACCACTGACAACCCTAGACCATTCAGAGTATGAATCATTAACCACTACTCTCTGAATACGATCTTTTAGCCAGTTTTTTATTTATTTACATACTGATTTTCCCA